TGCCCGACACTGAAACAAATTTGAGGTGAAGAGCAGAGACCCCCCCTGTTCGTTAGTTTCCTGAGGTCCCTTTTCAAGTTGATGGATAGAATCTCAAGTATGTGGAATCTTTCAAATACCTTGGGAGCATGGTAAATTCAAGTGCATCACTTGATGACAAGATTGTTAATTGCATTGCAAAAGTCAGCACTTCCTTTGGTTCGCTGTGTCATAAGTTGTGGGACAAAAGGGGAATAAAGCTTTGCACTAAAATCCAAGTGTACAAAGCTGTTGTTTTGTCAACTCTTTTGTATGGCTCTGAAACTTGGACATCTTATAGATGGTACATTAAATGATTAGATGCCTTCCATAAAGGTTGTCTCCATATAATCTGTGGCCTAACGTTTGATTGAGTGTCGAATACTGACCTTTTTGAGAAATACAAGATTGGTATCATCGAAACCTTCATAATACAATAACAACTATGTTGGACTGGCCATGTGGCAAGGATGAGTGATGATCGCATATTTAATGTTCTTTTTTATAGTGAACTCCATAGTGGTCATAGAAATGTTTGTATTCCTTGGCTCAGGTATAAAGATAAACTGAAAAGCAACCTTTCTTGTGTCAACATTTCATTCAAGAATTTTGAAGAGGTAGCTATGAAGAGATCAGAGTATCATTCTAGCTGCCATTCAGGAATAATGCACCATCAAGAAGTAGGCATCAGTTGACTGCATGAAACACAAAATCAAAATAAGACAGCTAACAGTTTTCCTACTGCACTTGGATACAATACATTCCTCTGTTTGTGGTCTGTACTGTTTGTGGTCTTGTGTGCAATTCTTGAGCTGGTCTTGTGTGCAATTCTTGAGCTGGTCTTGGTGTGCAATTCTTGAGCTGGTCTTGTGTGCAATTCTTGAGCTGGTCTTGTGTGCAATTCTTGAGCTTGAGCTGGTCTTGTGTGCAATTCTTGTGTGCAATTCTTGAGCGGTCTTGTGTGCAATTCTTGAGCTGGTCTTGTGTGCAATTCTTGAGCTGGTCTTGTGTGCAATTCTTGAGCTGGTCTTGTGTGCAATTCTTGAGCTGGTCTTGTGTGCAATTCTTGAGCTGGTCTTGTGTGCAATTCTTGAGCTGGTCTTGTGTGCAATTCTTGAGCTGGTCTTATGTCATGCCTGTCATAGGCATGTAGATAATTAGTTTGTGGTCGTCAGAACCTTATACATTATCAGAACTCTCCTTCTTCAAGGAAGGGAAGAATGTAGCGATTAAAATAACCTTGTAGCATTCAACTAAGTATGTCCTAACACTTTTGGGATGTGAATATTTACAATTGGTGTGGATAGTTTCAGCTTTTCATTACCTTCAGATTTATTATCTTCATCAGAAGATGAAGATAAAAAGTATTGTTGATAATAAGTTAAATTATTTAGGCTTTTAAGATGGGAAGTTTTTACTTTTATTATAATTAATTTTAGATTTAAAAAAAAAATCTCTTTGTATTTGATTAACTGACAATAATCAATTTGGTTGTGAAAATAAGTTATGAAATTGGATCCAATTCTTGTTCATCTAAGATTCTGCCAACCAGGATTTATGGCTAACATGAATTATCTTTTTTTTCTTTATTCCACAATTGAATCCGGATCAAATTTAATCAGATTGAGAATAAAAAAAATTGATTTCCTTTATTAATTTTTATTATATTTCTACTTGTTTACTGATAAAATATCAAGTAATATCGAGTAATTTTGTGCAAAAAAAAACAAAACAAAAGTATATCGTCAAGGAAATCTGTAAAATAGGATTCTGATGTTCAAATTGATCAATTTGATCATTTAGGTATTTAATTTCTTTTAATATTAGTGATATATTTTAAGACATTTTAAATCGTATTGTTGTTGCTCACTAGTGTTGGTATTATTTTGGCTGCTAGATGTTGCCAATACCAAAATGTTTATTACTGATTGATTTACAAAGGTGGCAAACTATTCAAAATATATATGTGGAATTTTCCTGTTTTGAATTATTCTTTCTCCTTGTAACTTCCCTCTACATGAAAAAGTTCTTGGCAGGAGCAAGAAAACAATACCTCAAAGTCACAAAACGGGCACTATTTTACAAATTCATTGAAACACCCATTCCTATATGATTGCCGAAATTAAGAAACACTGAGCTTGGTCAGTACCTCAATGGATTTCTGCTTATGAATACCAGGTGTTGTAAACTTGGATATGTAGGTGGTGTAATGAATAATGACTTTGAATTGTTAATTGGATTGCTGAGTTCCAATTCCAGTTGAGTTTGTTATATTCACTTACCTTTCCCAACTGTATTTGCATGTATGAACCCACCTCTTCTGCTCCAGCTGTGGATTAATTACTAAAACTTGTAACATTTTTTTTATTTTTATTATTTTATTTTTATTTATTTATTTTTTTTTTAATTAGATAATTTAGTGGGACAAGCTATTTTCTGGTTTTAAATAACCTGCAATGGTTTGAGAAACTATAGAAAACAAACTAGTTTCTTTAGTCCTTTACACACACACATAGAACCAATAATATTTGTGGATTTAGATGTCCCGAATGGAAGTATTCCTGTTCAAATCATTCATGAATAATAATTATATTGGACATACCACTACATGCTTATCAAGAAGACTTACTTTACATATCTTGTCTGAATGGAGCTATCTCTCTATTTGTCTGATGGTCGCAAAAGCGTGAAACACAGGGTCATAAACTCACATCAATCCAACCAAATATGTTAGCTCTATCTCTGATATTGAGCGCTTTCTAATAAGTACCGCACATATAATATATAAATATAATATATATATATATATATATATATATATGGTGCGATGGGTAGATTGTCACCATTTTCAATTTTGTGCATATGATATGTGTTGTTCGTTTTTGGTTTTGTCGACTGCACAGTATAGTAGGGTCAGTTGGGCCCTTTCTGAGAAAAAATGAGTACCATGATGCAAAAACTTGAAAATGGCATGCTGTACTGTTTTGCATTCACACTGGAAGCTCCAATACGAACATTTTAAAGTGTTTGTGTGTCAATCTGAGGACAGTGCAGAGGATGAGTCTAATGGTGGTTATGAAGGTATGCCAGATTAGAAAACTCACTCTGGTCATTCTGATAAGAAAAGAACTCCCAAATTTGTTGGTGAGGGCCTCAGACTCAACATGGAGACCATCAAGTGTCTTGAAGTAGTGCTGCCCCAGGTCAAGAGGGTGGCTGCTGGAAGAACCTATGTCTGGCAACAGGACTGTACACCATGCCACACAAGCAAGAGAACCCAGTCATGGCTGTTAGACAATTTCTGTGACCATATCATCCCTTACATCTGTCCACCTAACTCCCCAAACTGCAACCACTTTGATTACTATGTGTGGGGTGCAGCTGAGCAAGACCAACAGAACTCCTTGTAACCCCAAAGATGAACTGAAGGCAAGGATTATGGCAGCATTCACCAACTTGAACAAGGAGACCATCCAGAAGAGTTGCAGGAGATTCAGAAGTTGTCTGGAGGCTGTGGTTGAAGCCAATGGCAATTTTATTGAATAAATTTACTCTTTAGTATTTCAAGATATTTTTGTGTTATTTTGGAAAAAAATATATGTCAAAATGAGATGTCAGTGTTATTTTAATTTTTTTCATAATTTAGGCGACAATTTATCCATCTCACACACACTCAGTTAAAAAATATTCTTAATAATGGCTGATATATTAGCTTAAAGTATATGGGTCTATAGAATATTTGGGCAGTTTTTACACACTTTGTACAAAAAGGTAAATTCTTAATTTCAGTGCCTTGTCAGTTGTTTTCAGTTAAACTTCTATAATAGAGGTATTACTTTCCAAATACACAATTATGCATAATACACAAACTACTCAATATTGGATACAGTGTTTGAAGATATAATGTACATGGTGAGTGATTTCATGCTTCAAACAATCTTCAGACCATGCTACTTATTTGCAGTCCTGAATTTGAAAGCAATATTAGAAAGATTTGAAAATCCCTGGAATGCAACTGTCAGTCATTCTGATCTGTTGATTTCAATCTCCAATATTGAGTATTCTTTTTCCCCGATGAATATAGAAACTTTAAACTGTGTCAGCAGAGAAGACTAATTTTGATACTAGAGTATTAAATCTAGATCTACCATCCAAATAATCAGATCCATTCTCTAGATTTTCACCTGTTGTTTCTTAATATAATCAATAGTAGCTTAGTAACCGAGTTAACATCTCCTTTTATGTTCATATTCAATATAATTATTATAAATGCAAATATTTTTTTGCTTTCAGGACTTTTTAATTGAATAATTTCACATTTGATTCTTTTTTTTTTCTTTTTATATAGCTGACATCTTAGGGTGTTAACATTTTATTCTGCTTGAAAGTAACCTAAACTTGATAATAAAGTGAATGTCTGGTTATCTAGCATTTGAAAAGATAAATACCTGCATCTTAAGAGCTATGAAGTTAAGAGTGAAGGTATCAAAATGAAATGCATTTTGGTTCAATTTGATCTTGAAAAGACATCTTCTCATAAATCCTGAATATACAGAAAATTAAGATTATTTATAGCACCTTCTTGTATGTATGAATTTTCTTTCAGAAAGTAACACTATTTTAAAATTAATGGGTAATTAATTTTGTGGTGAGAATGGTTTTTATCAAGTTAAAATGTTTTTTCAGTTTATTAATTCAATAAACAAAATAGTTCTGGACTTGAAAGCAAAATGCGAATTTAATTTAATCCTTCCACAGAATAGTCTGTTAAATACAGCAATTCTAAAATAAATGAAGCAGATTTCTCAAGTTGACTAAATTTTTTTTTTTTTTTTTTTGTTTATGATAAATGGAGTCTATAAACAAATGTTTCATTATCTTTTTTTTTTTATTATTTAAACTAATAAAATTTATGTATAGAAAGGTTTAATATTGTTTCTTAGAACTTTTTAATTATAGAAGTATTTTTTTTCTCACTCCAGGATGAAGAACAAAAGAACAAACTTGCTGCCCCGTTGCTACCTGAGGAGGAGCGTACTGCAAATGATGTTAATGTTGCTAGTGGTGGTACTCCTCAAGCAGCAACAAAATTTGGATGGATAAAAGGAGTATTGGTAAGTTTCTTTTTCTTTTTACCCATTTTGAATTCTCTTATAAAATAACTGCTGCTACTTTACAAAAGAAGGTCATCTCTTCAATATTGAACTCGGCGACCACAAGCCCGTAGATGACTTTGCCAACTAGCCTCACTCCTGTGTACCATTTTAACTTGCCCCAGAAATTGAGACAGTAAAAACTAATCTGTATTTATTGGCCACACAAACTTTGTTGCTTTCAAATGGTTCTAAAAGTACTTTGTATTGCTGAAAATTTTGTGGTTTTTTGATTTGATATTGTGTATGTGAAATTTGATTCCTCATATTTATGCACTTACAAGATTACATTTCCTACCAGATCAGAGACAATATTTCAAACAATATAAATGAGTTCCTACATGGGATTTCAACAGATTTGTTACCTATAGATTATTTGGCTTCAAATACATTGGAAGATCCAATGTTAGGAAAAGTCATTTTTGAGATAAAAATAAATGTTCTAGTGTGAAAAGATAAGAAAAAAACAAATGAACTATAGAAAATGGCATCATTTGCAATGGTGAAATCTCATTTTCCCCACCAGAAGTATCTATGATGATATCCATTGGGGCATCATACATGCACATGATTATCTAGAAATACTCAATCCATTACTGATTTTATGAACTGCCTATGATAATTGTGACAAAGAATCTTAATTGTTTACAATTAAGGGAAATGTGCAGATATATTAAATATAGAAAGTAGTTATTAATATTGAGCAGTGTAGAGGGCACAACTGTATGTGTATCTGTGTGAGACACATTCCAGCTACCTTCAACCAGAGTGATGGGGAGGAGCAAATGTTAATACATTCTTCAAGAAAGTCACTTCCTAACAATACCTATTAATGTCCAAATCACATGTGATTATAAATTAACATTGTTACTGGAATGTCTAGTAGATTCAAAGGAGAAGAATTGAACTTTATAAACTTGTATATAAGTTATGAGAAATAGTGGTGTTTAATTATATGTATTTCTTATTTGATTGGATAACAGAATGAACCTCATTAGCTACTCATAATTTGCGTCTTAATGATATCCAAACTAAGCATGTAGAAAATATAATTTTGATACAAATATTTGCATTTTTTTGTAACTCCTTTACATACGTGTAGATATTCTTACCTTTTAAAATCTTGTGGATTTGATTGGTGGTGCAGGAAGTAATGTTTCATTAGAGATGCAATTTGCATACCCGAAGTAAATTACCAGTCTTTTCTGCTGGGTAGCTCCTTGCCTGAACTAAAGAACATACATTCTTATCACTGTTTGCTACTAGAATTGGCAACATACATTGTCCTATCTTCTAAATGATAGGTCATCTTTTTTACATGAGCCTTACTAAAGATAATCATTAACTAACACTCAGTGATCAACCCTTGTATCAATTGTCTGATATTATCAGCTTTTTATTTTATTTTTTTATCCTTTAAATTGTAGCCCACATGAAATTGGTCTGTCCCATTTATATAATTTTTCTTTACAAATGCAATGGGGATGTATTTAGTATGCATGAGTTGGGCCTTCAAATTCTTTATTATGAAGGTTTTATTTAAGTTTAAAGATGTCTGACTAAGACTAAAGTCACTATCATTGCAACCAACAACATTATTACATATTTTTTTTTTAATTATATAACATGCATCGCTCTGAAGTTTTTTTTAATTACTGGTATAAAATCTTTCATTCTGTTAATGTCTCTTTCATACAGTCATTTAACCTTTTAGTACCCATTTTTCCACCAGTGCAACATATCTCAAGACATTTTTTATACCAGATGATCATTAATTTTAATTATTTTCTCAACAATATACATGAAAAAGACTAAAATATGTGCTTACATGTGTTAAAATATAGTTAGTGTTCAAACTTTTTCAAAAAATGTCTTAAAATATGTTCCACTGGTGGAATAATGGTCACTAAAATGTTAATTTATTTCCATGTTTTTTTTTTTTTTTATCATTTTGCAACATTGGCTCTGCATTTGCAATCTATCAAGATGAAATTTTTACAAACTTCTGTTGAATGCTAAAAATGTTAAAATATTTCAGTTTTTAATTGGATGTTCCTTTTCTTATCTAGGTGCGATGTCTGCTCAACATATGGGGTGTGATGCTTTTCTTGCGGCTGTCCTGGGTGGTTGGACAGGCTGGAATTGCATTGGCAACTGTTGTGGTCTTGCTATCTGCTGTTGTGACTACCATCACTACATTGTCCATGTCTGCCATTTGTACCAATGGGGAGGTCAAAGGAGGTAAATCACTTGTTTCTATTTATATAATCAATGAGTTAAAATTGTATTAATTTATAATTATTTTATAATAGTTATTTCTCTTTGCACACCTTCCCTGTTGACTAGTATCATTTCTCCATTCTTCATTTCAGGCTTCTATTTTTCTTTATAAATTCACGTTTTATATTCATTTTTTTTTCTTTTTTTTCTTATATCTTCACTTTTTCGATTTATCCAAATATTACAAAATAGCCCAGTCTTATCTAACAAGAATAAATTGAGATAGTTATTAACTCAGCTTATTCTTGTCTGGTATAGAGCCAGAGAATATAAAAGATACCTAGTGAAAATCGTATTCATGTCTTCAGGATTGTCAGTTGTTTCATGGTTCAGTTTTAGATTGATCTGCATTAGCCAAAGCATAAATGTGAAATGACTTGTTGTTTTCAGCTTGAATCACAAAATTTTGTGCGGAATATTTTTTTTTTTTTTTTTTATTTCAGTTACTTTTTTTTTTTAATATCCTATTTTCTCCTAGAATTATCCTGATTGAAGGGAGCTGCAATGTAACACTCCCACCTCACACCTACCCACTCTATGCTCTCTGATCTCAATATCATCCAGCAGCAAGGCCTCTGATTGGTAGGTTTTGAGGAGTGTGGAACCACCTCTTAATTGCCGTTGTTCCCAGGTCAACTCTGACCCAGGGTGGTAGCATCTGATAGGGCCCCAGCTATAAGTAAATAGTTTCCCCTCTCCCCAAAAATGGTATCAAAGTGTAAAGATGGGTTTTTATAATAAAAATACAAACAGTACAAATTGCAATATATAACATGCACATTCACAAAACCTACAAATTCTCCTCAATGGGGCTACCCGCTTGCTGTGGGTGGCGACCTGTGATGCCTGGGGACGGCGTCTTGGTGACTGTGTGACTCCTGATCCAGTATAAAATGACCAGGAGTGTCCTCAACAGGTCACTTTGGTTCCTACCCAGGATAGACGGGCAGATGGAATAACTCAATCCATTCCAATTGGCTAGTCACATAGTGGCAAGGGCTAGTTGTGATGATAGATAATGGCTCCGATATAGCTGCGAATCCTTAGATCATACTATACTATACTTAGATATGGTGGAGGAATGCGGGTGCTTGTATCCATTTTCATCACAACTATACTATTATATTCCATGCTAATAGGAATATATACTTGAAAAATATGGTGGATAAAATAAGTAAAGGTTTATTGTAAAAACAAGTACAATAGGAATATAGGTAACAGTTATGCACAAGGTCGTCGCAAGTCAATCCAGTAGTGAGTGCTACTATTGGAAGGTTAGTAGTTCTCGCATAAGTCCAAGTTGTACTCAATAGTTCCCAGCTAGACTCTGTAGTCCGTTGACTTACAGATACTTATAAGTACTTACTACCTATGGTGGTGACAGGTTATTCCATTACATCAAGGGCGAATGTGATTAGTCACCCCTGATAGCATCCCTTAAGAAGGAACTCCAAGGTGGGTGGGAAACACAGATGGTGAATACAAAAATCAAAATTATTATCCATTATAAATGAACCAAGAGACAACATTAGACTTCTGAAACAGAAAGTGAAAATGAAATATCAGAAAAAAACAATTTCCAACTTTCATAATTATAGAATCCCTAGATGGTGAAATATCAAAAGTGACTCCTTTAGTGTTGCAAAGGGTTATATTGGCCATGAGTGAACCAAAATCTGTTAAAAAAAAAATAAAAAAAGAAAAGAAAAATAATACACTTTTAATTCAAGTAAAAAGCAAAAAAGACACAGAAAATTAGTAAAAAAACAAGCAAATAAACAACAATAAAGTAAAGTCTTACCCCCCACCAATTTCTTAATTCATCTAAGGGATTAATAAAATGTCCAGAGCTGTCACTCTGCTCGCCAGAAGAAATTAAAAATGATGGCACCCTAAAAAATCAAGGAGCAACAGACGTCAAAAGAATTCAAATAAAAAGAAATGTCACATCAATAAACACACACGCATACATTTGACATTAAACAAACCTACTCTACCTAAAGAAATAAAGATAGGATAGTCAAAGTAGAGCCATACATTCCTAATCTCTGTAGATGTTACAAATGTCAGAAATTTGATCTACAAAATCTTTGTATGAGAGCACCAGTCTGTCAAAGATGTGAGAAACTTGAGTTGGATCATGAAGAGTCACCCTGTGAAAGGCCTCCTTTATGCCTGTAAAAAAACAAAAACACTCAGCAGACTCTAAAGAGTGTAATATCTGGAAAAAAGAAAAGGAAAAAATAAGAATAAAATACATGCAAAACATCTTGTTCCAAGAAGCCAGAAAACAGGTTGAATCTTATTCACTTCCAACATCATATGTTGCTAAAATATCAAATCGCCAAAATGACATCCAAGAGAACAATACAATAAAAAGCCAAGATCTTTCAACTCTAATAAATAAATTAAAAAGTCTAATAGAACTACTAAAATGTAGTATGACATATAAAACAAACTCCCAATAGTCAAAACAAATCCTATCCTATCATCCTCAAACAAAAAAAATCTATATGTATAAAACAATTAATTCTGAAAATCACAATCCAAAGTACAAAAATCCTTCAAGAAATAGAACTCCCTAAACATTCTCAATGAATCAAAAGGTGCATTTTAAAAAAAAAAAAAACACAATCCACTACATCATTGAAGAACCAAGCAAAATGGACATAGATGAACAAAACTCTATCCCATCTCAAACAAGGGAACAGTCATCATCCAAACAAAGATTGTCAAAAGAACCTAAAGGAAAATCTAAGGAAAAAAGATCAAACATCAGAAACAAGACCTTCAAAGAACAAAAAATGACAAGAAACAAAGCACTAATATGCCGGAGAGCATAGAAACTATGGACACTTCACCCACTAAACATAAATCAGACAAGCAAAAAACTCTTAACACCTAGGGTCAAAACACTGAAAGTGTAAAAGTGTGTTTTAATACCAGAAATGCTTTGTTAAAGGAAAAAAGTATTACCTGCAATAGATTTTTGAAGGAAAAATATTACCAGCAATAAAAATTGTCATTGACGTTGATATGCCATAAAATCTAATCAAACCAAACTCCTCAGTATCAATAATTTTGTATATTGAATCTATCTCTACATCTCCCTTAAACATGGGTTTCTTATCTCAAATAGATCAAATGATTCTTTATTACAGGCAATTCTTAAAATCATTGGAGTATCTCTGATTTTCATCCTGTTATTCTTGATTACTCTCAGTACCTGAATTTTGCACCATTATGACATTTCAGAAAAAATTTAAATCCCCTTTTAAACTGATATCAATAAGTGATTGTAGTTGCATGGCAAGTAATGATTCTCATGATACTGTATAATTGATAAGGCAATTTGCATTTTTTTGTCTATCATTTTCAAATTTGTTTTCTTTTTGATGTTAGTCAAAGCAGAAAAGGCAAATTCAAAAAAATAAGTTGAGAACTGAAATAGAATTACCAACACTTTTCTGGCTATTGTTGGGTACTGCTTTGTGTCTTTCCATGTATATAAGAATTTAATATCTTTAAAATTTTAAATGTATTTGATCAGCCAATTTCAGTATGTAACATTTCACAGAAATGTATCCTGTATTTTGTACAAGAGTTCAGATAGATTTAATATGGGCCATCTGACATGACTTTGCACAGACAATAAAATTCAATGTATAAAAGGAATGTTTCCGGTTTAGAACCAATTTAATAACATATTTTTGAAAATGCATGCAATTTGAGTGGCCTACATCTGATAAATTTTATCATCTTTAACTTATTCAAAGTACTGGGTCACTCTTAATTTATTGTTTTTGAAACTAGTCTTTATATATTAATTTTTTTTATATTCTTTATATATATATATATATATATATATATATATATAAATGAACAGATATTATTTGACTGTATTGTGGCTTTGCATGTGGCACAAAACTGTTCATTTTTCCAGTCATAGACAAGGTTCTCCATCTTTAGAAATACTAACACAATTTTACCAAAGAAAGTTTATGAACATTATATAATCATTCAGAACCTAAAAAAAAAGATTCAATGTGGTCAGTTCCCAGAATTTCTTTTCAAATTAAATACTATTCTGTAATCTTTTTTTTTTTTCTATATAATTATGCAATATATAATTTTCAATATCTTTAGACAAATCTGTAATATGCTTAACTATGGTATTATCAGATAACACAATTTTATTAATTACATTTTCACATTTTGGGTAAAAACATTTTTTGTATAATTACTTTGCAGAAAGGTAAAATTAAAGATTCTTCAGTTGTGTGGTTTCATTTATTTTTAAGTTAAGCAATTATATAACTGTTACTTTATCTGAAATTTAGAATATTTTAATGAAATTAGTATTTCTTTAGATTTTTATCAACATTCTAAAATATTCAATAGATTTGTCATTAAGATTGTCTTGTAGAAAAGCCGAAACTGGACCATTCTTTAAATTGACAATTTCTTATTGCACATAATACACTTTGGATTCTCAGCAAGTAAAATTCATTGCTATATAATTTTCTCTAATTGAATTTTTTTTATTGTTATTTTTTTTATTGCATTTAATGTTCGAGACCAGATACTGTTTTTACTTTGTTTCTGCATTGGATGGATCTGAAATTTGGGAGTTCTTCTAACAATGTTTTATTCAAATTTCTTTACTCTTGATAAGAAACTTTGGGGGTCTAAAGAACTTTATGTAAATGCATTTCCTTGTGAATGAATAAACTGGGATAATTAGGTTGTGGCCCTATACATTTGCTATGGCTTCCCACTTAATATGAAGAATAATTCTTACCATTAAATTACTTAATAAATGTGTGTGTGTTGGGACAAAATTCCTGAAGTATAAATGCTCACTACCATCAGTTGTCAATGTAACTTCCTTATTAATATAAAAAAAAAAAAAAAAATCAAGTTTTTCAGCAAACACACTTTGTAATTCTTTTAATTGCTACATACTTTATTGATGTAATGGAATAACCTGTCACCCCCATGAGTGACTACACTATAGGTAGTAACTACTTATAAGTATCTGTAAGTCAACGGACTACAGAATCTAGCTGCGATCTGTTCCAGCTAAACTCTGAGCAGAGAGGAACCCAGACAAGGCTCCACCGAAGGGCAGTCTCGTTCGGGGAGGTAGACTGCCCCTGAACCCATTTATATGGGTTCGAAAGGAAATATTTTTGGTCGAGCCTATGGGCTCAGAGAACCCACGTTAAACTGGCCTTGTGTCACATGCAACCCTTGTGAGGGTGGGGTAGCTAAATATACTAGCTGGGATCTGTTGAGTATGACTCAGACTTACGTGAGAACTACCTAACTTCCAATAGTAACACTCACTACTGGATTGACTTGCAAAGACCTTGTGCATAACTTACCTTTATTCTTATTGTACTGGTTTTTACAATAAATTTACTTATTTACTTTTACAATTTACTTATTTATTCTACCTTGTTTTTCAATTATATATTCCTATTATCACAGAATATGACATTTATATTTGTTCAAGTAAAATATTAGTCATGTATACCTTTGCAAATGGCTTGATGATTTCAGCATATTTTGGCAAATAATAGCCGTAAGAATTCATTAATCCTAAAGGAAACAATCATCTAATATCTCTTGGAGTAAATACTGATCTGCAGAAATACTGATTCCTTCAAAAGAAAATATCTTAAAGAGGATGTTTTATCATTGTTAAATATACACTTGCCTGAATGAATGGTTATTCCATGATGTGTCATTTGCTTTAATATAATTTTTGTCTTTTTCCCTTGCTACTTGCATCCAAAAATATCATCCTGATAGACTGTCCTATTTTCGATATTGTTTACCCAAATATCTTTTTTATGGCATATTGGAAAATGATTTTTTATTCCATAAAGTATTTGTGTCCAGCTTAGAAAACAAACGTGTTAATGATAGTGATTTCTATAAAATCATCACTGGATTTGCTGATATGTACCTTTTTTATTTTTGGATTAAATTTTGCAAAATATCTCCTCAGTTAATGCCTGAAAGATAGATGTTATGAACAAATCTTATGATTACCACTTATCCTGTAATCACCACAAATAACAAATCTCCATCTGTTTTACATGATACCGCAGTATATGATATTTTTTGCTACCTTCAAGTGCAATAAACTCTAAAATATTTTGATCATGTGTCATAATTTTAGGAATGGAGAAATATGAATGGGCAGTTTATGGTATTTTGAAATATAAATATACATTTTTCAATTTTATACTAGCTTTATAACTTTTCAGTATCATACAAATGAATTTGAAAATACCTAATGTTTAATAACCAATCTATCAAATTTGTATATTGCTTCTGAAAATCATGTCTGAGAGCATTAAATTGAATTTTAGGTTAATTGGGTTTTTTTTTTTTTTTTTTGCAACATCATGTTTGCTTCTGATCACTTGATAGAACACCACCTCCACTTGGAGATGAGAAAGTATCAGCTCACACAGTATGACTATTTAAACATAACCTTTGCCAATTTCTAACTATGGTCTTAATTTTAATTGTCTCAATCTACTTAGGTAAAACACAAATTTCCTCATATGGAGAATTCTAAATCTGAAGTTAATCATATTACATTCTTTTATGGTCTCTGTTTCAATGTTTTTCAATCTCACAATTTCTTCAATATGAATCCCACTTCTTCCCCAGCCATGGGTTAAATAGTAGAAACTATCTGGAAAAACCATTATTCTAAAAAAGAAAATTGTTACTGTAATATTCACTTGCAAAGAAGAATTATTCTTACAAATTGAAATGTTTTGTGTAAGCCTTAAAAAAACAAACAAGCAAATCCATCAACTCCCAATTTCTTTAACCCGAATTCTAGATATCATTCAAACTTCCTTATTTGGGCTTTTTTTGAATATCATTCCTTTCTGGTTCTACCTTTCTTCCTTTATTTTGTAACTCTCCTTTCTCTCTTCCTTCTCCTTCCAACTTTATTGATCCAATCTATTGTTTTAATGTTTTCCTGACAGGTCATCTTATAAGCTAGTGTGTTTACCATTTATATGACCTCCCCACCACTCAAAAAAGAAAAACCAACCAACCCTTGGTACTTAAAATTGTTAATGTGGGATACATATTTGATCTTTATACTGAAAAGATCCCAAATTACTTGTTAAGCAATTAACCTGTGTGGCTACTAACATTAATATGTAAAATCCTATAAGAAAGGTTGTGTGAGTGCTTGTATCATAAGTAACTCCAATAAGACTTGAGAATTCTATCAAAAGTTTAGAGTAACAACCAATTAGCAATGCAATCATAGAAAAGAATGTTATTCAGGTTGTTGGAAGTGACTATGACTAAGAGGAAATTATTTGCAAGAAAATATTAAACTTTGCTTGGAGGAGAGGAACTGCATATTGTAATTAATCTGCTTTTCCAAATATATCAATGACTTTTCTGTAGGTTGTAAAAAAAAAAAAATGAAATTTTGAAATTTAATCTGTATCAGCTAAAACATTCTATTTTTTTGCTTTGGACCACTTTTAATCAGTTTCATATATAGATGCAATACTGGTCTTTTTATAGACAAAAGAAATAGTGAAAAATTAGTATTTATTTTTATAAAATAATAATTAAAATACCTGTTAATTTTGTTTAAAAGACAGAAACTGTTTAAAAAAAGGCTAAAAAAAAATAAAAATCAAGCAGATGTAGTTTTACATTATAAAAAACACTTGGGACACTTTTTTGTTCTGTATTCTTTGGTTGTTTCTTCAAAATATGTAAGCTCTCATCAGGATAATTGTTAATACCAACTATTTTATTTAATGAAAATCCTGATTTTTTTTTTTTTTTTTTTTTCCCTGTCTAACAAGGAGAGACTGTAAATAGACAATCACACTTTAAAGCAAAGACTGTCTTGGGAAGAATTTTCTTTACCTCTTTAACTATAATCAATTTTTTTTTTCTTCTTCAGGCGGTGCCTACTATCTGATTTCCAGAAGTCTTGGACCTGAATTTGGTGGTGCCATTGGAATAGTTTTTTCTATTGCTAATGCAGTTGCTATAGCCATGTATGTAGTGGGATTTGCTGAAACTGTCAGAGATTTATTGAAAGTAAGTATAAAAATCTATTAACTTGTGATCAATTCTTTTAATGCATTTTAATTTTGAATGAAATTATTTACAAACAAAACCTGTTTTTTATGCTTCTGCTCCTCATAGTTTTGCATAATTGATTATAGAATTATTAGTTTATCCACAATGGGCTATACTGAAAAGCCAAGCAACCTTTTTATTTTTCTGATTATTAGAATGGAGAGTTAAAGGTCAAAGACAAATTTTCGAATGTATAAAGATTCATTAACAGTAGCAATAAGTGACTTGTATCGATATTAACATAATTAAAATCAACATCTCTGTGGGTACTGAAAAGATCTTGGCTATGTTCACTTCCTGAAATATGATCAGATTTTTTTTCCAATGACTTCTTTGCCCCTTCCCATAATCATTTTTTTCTAGCTAGCAATTGTCTTCATCTTGTGTCTACTTCCTAAGCAACAAGTATCTTCACTGAAAATATCTTTCTATCCATCAACACATGTTACTTATAAATGTTTTTCTTTTTAATTGCTTGCTCTTTGCCTTATGTCTGTTTTTAGCCATTAAAATTCAGAATCCATAAGTAAAAGTAGATCATGTAATAATAAATTAGAATGACATAGGCAGACTCTACTTCCTTTCCATTGGGCCTACTCTGGTGCTAGGGTTCATTTAGTGAAGAAGTTGAGGCTTTGTTAGGGTAAGCATGGTTGATTTGAACATTCAGGGCAGCAACACTTCCTTTTGCATATTTTATTTTTACTACAATTAATGTGTCTGTAATAAACATATAAGTATCTACTATCATTAGATTAGGAATATGTCTCCTGTTTTTCATTTAATGTCATGCCGATATATATGTAGTTGGTTCAATTTTCAAGCTAATAATGAATTTAGGATTTCTTTTACCTATAAATCTTAGACAATTTTTCTTTTAATGTTGATGTTTAAATTTCAAAAAACTAATAGCTGTAAATTTGTACAATACCAAATTCTTTGATAGAAACTGTATCATAGCGCATTGTCAACTAAATGTCTACTAAATATAGAATAGAATCACTGGGATGTATGATTATTTGAGAAAACTTCTGTTTATGGGTTAGTAAAAGTCAACAGAAAATAGGATTTTTTTCTAAGTATTCTGTTCCTATCTTTGCTTTTTTAAGACCATATCAAAGTCATTTCCTTTCAGAAACATTTTCATTATGTAAAAAAGATATTTTATAATATGTGATCCATGTAGCAATAGCCTAAAATGTTACATTTGTGTGGTAAACAGTCACGTAGAAGCAAGCAAGCCAGAGTGGCTTGCATCTAGTGCAAAGGAAAATAAGTCTCTTACCTCAACCTGTGGCATGTGGCATCAGCATTTTGTTCCTTGAAAATGGCATTAATCTTCAGTCAGGCTATTCTGGCAGTAATGGTAATGGTTTTTTTGCGCAGCTGGACATGGTTCGACCAATAGCAACGTCTCAGCTCCCTATAAACTGTGCCCATTTCTCCTAAAGGGGAACCTATCACATGTTTGGAGAACAATTGTCTGTCTGAAGCATGGGTTATTAAACATTGTAGCAGAGCATAGTTTAAACAAAAAAAATGACTGATGAAAGGAAGGAAAACACATTTTTTATCCCACCAACATGGAAGACTGAAAGAGCATCTTATGATGAATGAAAGTTTGATGAAAATTTATGGATTCAATTCACCAAGACAGAAAAGAGGCACCAGAGATTTACAATCTACAACATATTACCAACTGAAAAGTGTCAATGAGCAAATGAGATTGGAAGGCAAAATGAAGAAATCAGGATTGAAGAAGATGAGAATATTGCTGAACAGATTTTTACTATCCTAGATAAGTCGTTTAAGAAAGATAATCTGAGTGTTATATGTGAAACATGGTGCTCATATAAAAATCTTTTGATGAACCATAGATCAGTTTCTCAATTCTCATGAGAAGCAAGGCATTTTACCTGAGGTAGTTCTGGCTATGCAAGTTATCGACCACACTGGATTGGATAAAAAGACAAACAAATTGTCTTTACAGCAGTTGATTATACAAAAAAAGATGAAATGTATGAACAAATGAAGAAATTCTTTGTATGACATTCCTTGGTTCCCAGAGGTTAGATGAGATAGCTGCCAAAGAAGAACCTGCATACACAGCAAATTCAGAGGAAATGTTTCTAGAAGTAAAAATAACCAAGGAACAAGATTCAAAGGATACAGTTTTGGTGGTGCATGGTCAGGATGATTAGAGACAGGTGTCTAAACTGTATGAAGCACAATTTAGGAGTACAGGTTTCCAAAGCGGTAGATGATCAGGAAGAGGAGCATACTGGGGAAAAGTACAGCTTACATTTATAGAAATCCATGTGATTAAGCCATTAATTACCTTAAATGCTTGGTGTGAGAATCAATTATACATTCCAAAAAGGTTTGTCAACATAGAAAAAGAAATGAAGAAACAAGTGCTTTTGAAACATCAAAAGTGTAGGAAAATGCTAAAGTTAGTGAAGCTTGTAAAGTAGGTGCATACTCACATGATGATAAACAGGTTCTCATGAGTGAAACAATCAATGCTGCCATTCTGGATAGTGCTTATAGTATAGTAATAGGGCATGAATGGAAGGAGATGTATTTGGCTTCATTATTGGAATGTGAAAGAAATTAAACTTCTACGTGGTGGTACAATATTCAAGTTTGGTGCAGGAGGCAAAATACAATCGGATGAAGGAATAGAGGTTCTTTGTATTATTGGTGATCAAAAGATAACCCTAAGAACAGAATTAGTGGACAATGATATTCCCCTATTGATAAATATACCAGACATGAAAAGTGGGATTCAAATCAAACATGGAGAATGGAAGTTAATGGAAGATCTCTTGAATTGGATACAACATCCTCTAGACATTACTATATTCAACTGAAAGAATGTGAAGTAAAAATTGCGAAAGTGCACATGGTGGCTGAACAGAAATCATGCAAGAAATAGATTATGATCCGTAAACTACATTGCTAGTTTGCACGTCCTTCAGCTAAAAACCTGACAGCTATCATCAAAAATGCTGATGCAGTTGCTGAAGAATGTGAAAAGCTAATTGAAGATATTAGCAAGTAGTGTGAAGTCTGTATGAGATTCAAGAAGACTCCTGCATAACCAAGAGTATCTTTTCCCTTGGCAATTTAATAATGTAGTAGCAATGGATCTAAAGCAATATAAAGATGTTTACTTTTTACATTTTATTGATCTCTTTGCTATATTCAGTAAAAGTAAAGTGATTGGAAGAAAAACTCCTAAAGTGTACATAGATAATGTTGCAATTGAGTGGATAGCTGCTAGCAAGAATGTACCAAGTTATGAGGGGAGACCTTAATCTAACAGCAACAGAAGAATAACAGATATAACAATGTTAACTATTTCTGATATCCTGTCATGTTATATAATAATTGTGATTTTGTAGGGATGTCATTTTTATTTTTGAGTCCCACCCCCTTAATCAAATAGATATTTACTATGAATCTATTTTGCCTTATAAAATGAAAGAACTTAAAATAAAACTGCCATGTTGCTCAAGATCATGTCTTTATAAAATCTGTGATGCTTTCTTCAGCCAATTTTTCTGTACTAATACCATTGCCTAAAGCAAGTAGTACAAGGAAAAAATTAGTTATTTGAAAAATATAATTGGTTTTATGTTTTGGTAAAAATACAAGGCACTTGTTTTTCTTTAAGACCCCCTTTAAAGCAGTTAAATTCTGTTACAGCAAATAGGTTGTTAATAAATTCTTTTGTTTTCATTAAAGAAGTTAAAATGTCTTTTAATTGTATTGTTATTTTTTAATTTCAGGCTAATAATGCTCTTCTGATTGATGAAATAAATGATATCAGAGTGATTGGTGTAATTACTATTACCCTTCTCTTAGGTATAGCCATTATAGGAATGGAATGGGAAGCCAGGGTACGTATTCCTCTCTTTTCATTTGAATCATAAATTTGGCCTGTAATCTTAATCAAATTGTTTGTTAACTCTACAGAAGCATTATTCTTGCCTTCCATGAAAAGCTTAACTTATGCTTGTAACCAACTAATACTAGAATTGAGTAGATACTTGTGCTACTAAGCCATCTTTTCTTGACAAATAATGTATGATGAGTTGTTGATGGTTTACTTTTTAATTATTCTACACTTCTAAATGTTGAAAAAAATAATAAAATGATAATCTTTTGTTAATATTTATGCTTGATATCTACAGGTTTTATGATTTCTTATACATTTATTAAGTTTACTTTAGTCTGACACAAAGGTCACAATAGTAGGATAATCAGTCGACTCTCAAACTAACTTGCAATGGTTTATAAATCAAGCCTGTTAATCAGCTGCCCTCTACATGTACATATAAGTTAGTGTAATAAGAACTGTTATATCAGAAATTACTTTTATTTTAGAGACTGGTTGATGTTAAATTATTTTTTTCAAAAATCATTCCCCTTTGACTTTGTAGAATTTGTATTGACAAGAAAACTGTTGGCCGAATTCAACTAAAATTTACCCAACACATGATTTTGATCTACAAGTTTGATAAGCAGATTGGAATCTTATTAAATACACATGCAATTGTTGAATTATTTTCTGTTATAAAAAATGTATGAAAATATGAATTTTATGTCCCTTTCCCTTTTCATTCTGGTAGCAACTTGCTATTATGTATGACTAGCAAAATTATGAATGCATTTACTATTTTCTTATTTGTATGCTAGCCATTCTCAGTAGCATTGATAATGTAGGTGATAAATTGTATTGAAATTTTTTTTTTTTTCAGGCTCAGTTGATACTTTTAGGAATCCTTTTAATTTCAATGTCTGTCTTTTTGATTGGGACGTTTTTTCCACCTACACTTGATAATTTTTCCAAAGGTTATACCAGTTACAGTGGTAAGTAGTGCTGAACGGAATTTAATACGGATTCCCATTTTTTTAAATTTTTTTTGTTTTCCATCTCATAAACAATTTTAATCAGACATAAGGGCTTAAAATATTTATTTTCTGTTCTTATTTATGCTAAAATATCTTAGTCTTTAAAATGACTGTTAAAAAAAATGACAAAAAAATGAAAGTGAGGTTTGACTAAGTAACTAAACATGTGGATATCACAATAATTGCTGAAGAAATATTACCTGCTTCCTTTTACAATTAAGTGTTTGACTTTTTGTTCCACCTGTCATTCTTAAATAGTTACTCCTCTGATATTGACCAGTCAGAACATTATTTTAGCAGCCAAAAAATATACTATAAAGAATTGCATGTATCTGATCAAAATTTTCAAAATGCAATTACTTAATTTTAATTACAATAAATAATAGATTTTGAAAAGGTTTAATTTACCTACCTTATTACTTGATGAATAATATTGCCTAATTGACTTAAGTAATTGTATCTTCTTTTGATAAATTGTAAATTAGTGGGTATTTAAGATTTAATAAGAAAATATGGCATTTTGTTGTTGTTGTTGTTTGAAGTCTGTATTCACTTCTGTTTACCATTTTGTTGTCTATAGAAGATATCCAGGAAATAACTAATCTTAGATTACCACTTATAAATGAAGTTATCATTTAATCTGTAACAGGATGAATTTGTCATAACCCGGTCATGTTTTACATGTTCCCTCTTATCAATAATGTTTCTTTTTTGGTTCACACAGCCAAAAGTATGTACCTGGTCAACTTGGAGATTGGTTGTTAATCTATAAATTGTTTTGTTAGGAAAATTTGTAATCATAATGTTATGATACAAATCAATACACGGTCCAGTTGTTTGTATAAATAACTATTAAAAAATAATTTCTTAAAGACAACATGCGCACTTTGTTATCACTTATTTTTTTTAACATTTAACCCAAGTTTAACCATTTTGCTGCTATGGACTAGATAACTCTTTTGCAAGATGGCAGCATTTCTTAGCGTGGTTACTCTATAATAGTTGCTACAGGATAAAATATCTGTTACTATAATGTTAATGACCTCTCAAAATTTTAATGTCCAAAAAAAGAAAACAAAACGTCTGTCATAGATGGTTTCTTGTTGAACTATTAAGAAAATAAGCAGTGTAATTTCAAGTATTCTGTATTTTTTTTTTTTTTTTTTTTTTTTTTTATAATATTGGAGGACTTGAGTGCAAATATTGTAGTTAAAAACAGTGGAATAGAATAAGATAAACCCAAGGACATATTTCTGTATAATAAAGGTTCACAAATTTCAAATCTCTTTACACACACACCTCACAAAAATCTATTTTAGTAGGAAAAGTCAGTTGCTTTTATAGCAGTTTGGTGGACCCTTTCCAGGTTGTCAATTTCTGGAACATTAAAATAGATTAGCATATATTTCTATGCAATCCATTCTACTAAACACAATTGGCTAGCAGAGATTAATTTACATGAGCTTGCTGACCTCATTCAGTGGTGAAGCATTTTTTCTTCTGTACAGCTTCACCACGAGTTTTCTAAGCATTTCTTTTATTGAATTCTTATTTTTCATATAAAATTGATTTAAAAATAAACATTAACATTTGCATAATCAACAATCTCTACATTGATTTATTTTTATTTTCTTGCTTTCAGCTGAAACTTTTAGAGAGAATTTTCTTCCTGACTTCAAAGGTGAAGAATTCTTTTCAGTGTTTTCCATTTTTTTCCCTGCTGCTACTGGAATCTTGGCTGGTGCTAATATTTCTGGTGATCTTAAGGTAAGCTTCATTAAGAAAAAAATCATGTACTACTTGAATCCAGAATTTAAATATTCCTCTCTACTTTTTTGTTTTTATCTTGCAATGTACTTCTATTATAATTACAAAATATAATCCAAGTCCATACTGTTTGTCGTTAGATGGCACTAGGAGTGCCGAGTTTTAATTAATGTCATTCAAGATAGATTATATTGTAGCAGCTGTCACAACAAGATACAGATTCTTCTTGTTTTTAAATTGATTAACTTGTTGAGTTCCAGTTTGATTCTAACACCGAAGATCAGAGAAAATAAGCAACACTTTTGAAAATGAGACATGAACTCAAATTTGTGCACTTTATGGAGAAGGTTGTGTGAATGATCAAACCTATCAAAAATGGTTTGCAGAGTTTCTTGTTGGAGACTTCTATCAGTTGAAAGGTTGATAATGACCAAATGAAAAACTTAGTTAAATGTATCAACATCATACAACAGACATGGGAGGAGATTGCTAATATACTCAAAATATCCAAGGCAAGCATTAACAATGCCAGTTTGGTTATGTTATTCATTTTTCTGTGATTTTCACAAATTAAGCAAATGAAAACCTTTTGGTCTGTATTTCTGTGAATGATTCACAATATAAACACAATGAAAATTATATTTAAATTGTGGTCTGTTTGTGTATGTCTTTAGTCACTCATTTGTTTGTCTAGTTGCTCTCTGCATTGCTAATTTTAATCAATAAGAAATAAATTGAGAGAAACCTACTTTACATTTTTCAGTATTTAATTTAAACTCCTGAAAGTTTGTAAAGGCATTCTGCCTGCCATAGTTAAGAAAGTATAGTATTTTTAGTAATGATTTAATGATAGACATAGTTAATTTCCAAATTTTATTGGTTACTAAAAAGTCATCAACAATTAAGCCCCCAATGGGGCCATCTGTTGGCTGTGAGTGGCGACTGGTAAGGCACTAAGACAAAATACTGGTGGTTGAGCAGTCATTGATCCGACGACAGTGGCCAATGGCTTGCAACACACCATTTTGGCCCTTACTTGGTCTGACGAGCAGTTGGATAGGCCCAATCCAATCAATTGTCTGGTCCCGTCATGCCCCTTTCTTTTCTCCTGAATGTACTATTCAATCTGCTCTTGCAGAACAACCCCCCCAACCCTTTCTCTTATATGTGTTAGAAGGCGGGGATTGAGGGTCAATTGTGTTAAGAGAAAAAGACTTTTTGATTTTTTGTGTAATAAAAACCAGAATTTGGCAGAGGCCCAGAATCTTGCTCTTGAAATGAGTATACTGGTATTGTATCCCCATCTCATCCAAGGCGAATGGGTTTCCCCCTTGGTTTATTCCTAACACAAGTTGGACTCTGTGGTGTGTGGTGAAGCATAGGACCAATGAAAAATATATACTTATTATGGCTTCTTCCTTCAAAAAAACCAAAAGATATTTACCAGATTCCAACTCAGAGATTGAAACAAATTATTCAAGATTCATTATTATTGAATCATTAGAGGAAATCAAATTGGATAAGTTATCACCTTTCCTGATAGAGAAAATTATATCAGGTAGGTTGAATTCAAAAAACATAAAAAACTTTGAAATGGTAACTTGCTAGTGGAAGTTGAAACAAAAAAATATGCAGAAAACTTACTCAAAATGGATAAATTTCACAACATCAAATGTAGAGTGTATCCACATGAAAAATTAAACACTTCAAAAGGTGATTTAAGAAGCTGCAAACTTTTGTTAGCAACACGAGAAATAGGTATAGATTGTAAAGGAACATAAGAGAATATCTATTTGAAGAAACAATGATATTATAGAGACCCATACATATATACTACTGTTTGAAAAACCTGTAATACCAAAAGAAATCAGGATTGGCTATACTATAGAAAAGGTTGAGCAATTCATACCAGCTCAAAAATTTGGACATAACAAAGACATTTGCAGGAGATGTCAAGTGTGTGGGAAGTGCGGTGAATGTGATTCAAATTACACAGAGAATGAATGCAGTAATGTGAAATGCGCTAACTGCCACGAAGAACACTCTGCCTTTTGTAGAATCAGTGATATCTACAAGAGAGAAAAAGAAATAATGTATGTAAAGCACACAAAAAATATACTTTTCCTAGAAGGCAGAAAAATTGTTGAAAGCTATATGGGAACAAAAACCTATGCTAATATGGTACAAAAGGCAAATCAAAAACCCCAGGACATCACTCCAATAGATCAGTATAAAAAACTTATAGAAAGATTAATAAATTTGAATACAAATGAATGGCCAACATTCCAAGAAAATCTTAAAAGAATGTATTCAGCAGAAATACGAAAACAAAATTAAATAATGATACCAATGTAGAAATGCCCATAGAAAAATTCTAAGATGACTGAATCCACAAATGAAAAGCAACAAAGATCACTGATCTGACCTCTGGATATTAACAGAGACATAATTGGAAATAAAAGATATTGCTATTAAAAAACAAAATGCTATTAAAAAGATTACACAACCCACACCGATAAGTACATCAAACAAATTTGAGAAGATGGAGATTGAAAATAAAACTCTGCAAACAAGCAAACCTCAAAAAAAAAAAAAAAAAAATCTCACAAATCTAAAAATTAAATTTAAATGAACAATATAATCCAATGGAATATCAGAGGATCAAGGGTTAATTATTCTGAATTGTTGCTGCTTATAAATAAATACTGCCCAGCAATCATATGCCTTCAAGAGATTTACCTCAAAAGCAACAATACCATCAACATTAAAAATCACCAATCATACAATTATATTAAACGTCACACCAATAGACCTTGTGGTGGATCATCAGTAATCATTAATAATAATATCCCACACAGCAAAATCATACTAGATACAAATCTACAAAAACCTACAATTAAAGAATGGAACACAAAATACAAGAATAAAATTGTGTTGACCCACCTTCACATAGGTCACACCTACATCACCCATCATCATTTACTGTGGGGCACAGAATCCCCAATATGTACTACATGCTAAAAAAGATTCACAGTTAAACATATACTGCTTGAGTGTACAAACTTGAATCGAGTGCGGAAACAATATTACCAAACAAGTAATTTGAAGAAACTCTTTATGGAAATAGCACCATCTAGGATACTAGATTTTATAAAACAATTGGAATGTACTCAAAAATATGAGTGGCCAAATACTACTGTGTGTATATATATATATATATATATATATATATATATATATATGTTCTACCAAACTATATAGTTGACTCTCCCGTCGAGATTCGACTTATGATGGTCAAGCAGATCAGTTTCCAGGAAACCGACAGCCCGACACCGACACATGAGATTTGATTATAGTGGTGAAGGCTTCGTGCAGGACCATCCACACTTTTTGAAGGGACGAATACAGAAACCTGGTGCAGCGAATGCCACAAGGTTCCCAAACGACCTTCCGCAGGTTTTGAATTCAGAGCTGTCCTTCTCCTAGACCAGTTGCCATCCAAGGCTGTAGAACCCAGTCTGTCCTGCTATTTTACCCATAGCTAGAGGAAGAGGATTCATACCTTTCCCAAGGGTATTAGCATGTAAGTGAATGTAATGGATTCAACTGGAATTCGAACTTGGCTCTGCATTCCTCAATCCAAGCCGCTATCCATTACTCCACCATGCCTCTCTCACCAAACTATATATATATATATATATATATATGTTCTAGCAAACTATATATATATATATATATATATATATGTATATGTTCTAACAAACTATATATATATATATGTATATGTTCTAGCAAACTATATATATATATGTATATGTTCTAGCAAACTATATATATATATATATGTATATGTTCTAGCAAACTATATATATATATATATATATATATTCTAGCAAACATAAATAAAAAGAAAGAACAGTAAGATATAAAATCCGGTGTTCTTATAGATATTTTATTTTTACAAAATAGTGCTCAATGTAAATTTACAGAGCATTAATATTATAAATTGATTTAAAATATGTTTTTTTTGCTACACAGTTCCAACCATGTTTCAAAATAGAAGCTAAAACCCCCAATTTAATTTTTTTGCAATTAAATTAAAAGCATTAGTTCCATTTCATCTTCAAGCGAATCGCTTGAAGATGAAATGGAACTAATGCTTTTAATTTAATTGCAAAATTAAATTGGGGTTTTTAGCTTCTATTTTTGAAACATGGTTGGAACTGTGTAGCTAAAAAAACATTTTAAATCAATTAATTTATAATATATATATATATATGTGTGTTCTAGCAAACTATATATATATATGTGTGTTCTAGCAAACTATATATATATATGTGTGTTCTAGCAAACTATATATATATATATATATGTGTGTTCTAGCAAACTATATATATATATGTGTGTTCTAGCAAACTATATATATATATATATATATATATATATATATATATATATATATATATATATATATATATATATTCTAGTAAACTATATATATATATATATATTTCTAGCAAACTAATATATATATATATATTTCTAGCAAACTATATATATATATATATATATATATATAGTGTGTGTGTTCTACCAAACTCTGGTAAAATCCATTCCAAAAGTGTCAGCATTAAATGACCCACTGAGGTTGATAAACAAAATAACCAACCAACCAACAATTAAGCATCTGTCAATTTTGATCCCTACATTTGGTAAGGACATACACCAGAAAACACGTGTCCCATACAACTAACAGTTATATGAAATGAACAAATTTGTAAAATGTAAATAATTTTTTTCTTAATATGTAAATGGCCCTGCTATCTGGGGCTTCAGAATACACTGACTGCATCTCTGCAGAGAAGTAAGACCCCCCTCCCTCCTTTCAATGAGGTGTCCTGGGTAAGATGATAAATTACATTCAACAGCAAGGTCTCTGATCAAGAGGCTTTGAGGTGCATGGAGCCATCTCTTAATTGCTAGTGTTCCTAGGTCCACCCTGACCCAGGGTGGTAACACCTGTTAAGGTCCCAGCTATGGGCAAATAATTTACCTCCCCGCCCATAGGGGACAAAATGCTGTGGAGGTGTAAAAATAGGTATTAATAACAGCAATACTATTTTTGAGGGAAAATTATTACCAGAAATATATTTCTGAGAAAAAATTGTTACCAGCAATACTTTTTTGAAGAAAGAGTTATTACCAGCAATGTAGTTGTTTTGAAGGAAAAATTATCAAAGATACAATTTTGTAGGAAAAATTATTTCTGGTAATGCTTTTGAGAAGGAAAAATTATTTTTAAAGGAAAATTATTACAAACAAAATATTACCTGCAATAGATTTTTGGAAAAAAATATGACCTGCAATAGATTTTTTAAAGAAAAATATTACCAGAAATAGATTTTTGAAAGTAAAAAAACATTACCATCAATACTTACTATGAAAGTATAAAAATAGGTTTTAATATCAGAAATATTTGATAAAAAAATTACCAGCAATAAATTTTTGAGGAAAAAATTATCAGCAATACATTATTACCGAAAATACATTTTTGAAAAAAAAAAAAAAATTACCAGAAATTGATTTTTTGAAGGAAAAAAAAATATGCACTTGTGAAATATTTTTTTTTATATACTTTTGTTGCAAATTCATAGCAGAAATTTTGATAAAAATTTCATATTGCTGACCTGAACCATAAAACAAAATTCTCTCTTTGTTGTAGGATGCTCAAAGTGCTATTCCGAAAGGTACCTTATTGGCAATTTTGTTAAGTTCTGCTATCTACATCTTATCTGCTTGGATCCTGGGGGCTTGCATCATAAGGGAGGCAAGTGGAGCCATTCTTTACACTGCTTTAAATACTACTCTAGATGCAGTAACCCAAACTGCAAACTTGACTACTGTTGACAATGGTCAAAAAGAAGCTTATGTAACTATGCAGACCATCCGTAATTGCACTCTCGGGGAAGATGGCATTTGTAAATATGGACTGCTCAATGATTTCCAGGTGAGTAAGGATATGAAATCAATCATTTATTTTCATCACCAATTAAAAATGCTTACATTTAATCACTTTTGATTAGAAAATATATTTTTGATAATTATTGAATCAGAAATTGCAATGATTGTTTTAATAAGGTGTGTAATACTTTCATTGCCTCTTGACACCGAGCCAACTACTAACCCTACTTGAGATTTCTATCTACTAAATAGTTGTGGTCAGTAAGAATGAACAATTTGATTAAGTAGTCTCTTATGGTCAGTGAATGAAAGAAGATTACCCTGGAGTTCTTATGACAATGTTGGTGTTTCTTGGCCCTTTTTGCAAAATTGTATATGGCAACTGGAAAATAAGAGAAGTTGTATTTTTGCTTCTACTCAAGGATATCTTATTACAGATAACTACAATGTCTGATAAATCATTCATTTACAGTTACACTTGAAAACACTGCAAAGAGGATGTAACGGCTTCTTTAAGAGGCAACAAGTCAGTAATTTACATCCTGGCATTGCTTGGCCTCTACCTCTGCTTATATGACTAGATGTTAAGTAATAACTTAGTTGGGCTTCAGAATAGAAAGAAATCTCTGGTTCAGGCTGTAATTGTTACCCCCTCTCTCAGTAGTAGGTGTTGACAGTAACTGCGGGAACCTGCAAAGTACTAAGTATATAGAGAAGGCAACCTGTCAACAAACCAGGACAATTCCCATTCCCTAATGCTAACCATTACACTGGGTTTTTGAACTTGTATGAATCACCTCCACTAACTCTCAGAGAAATTTTAACATAAGCAGTTTTCATTTTCTTAAACTTTCAGGGTATCTTTCAGGGCTTCTTTTGGTGAAAGAACCATTCAATTATTTTTGTTTTCTTAAGAATTTCAACATTTATATTTCTAAATTTCTCATCTTGACTTTCATTTCAGCCCACTGAGGCAGTGTCATCTCCATATCCTTGTCCTAACTAAGCTTGAGGTTTCTTCCTCCTCTCTCTTTCTCATATATTTCCGAATCTAAGATTTCTCGCAACTTTCCCCACTTCCAGCTAATAGCTTGATTATGAGAGATTAATACTTTCTCCCTTATTTACACTATTTACATTGTTTGGACTGTTGTCTTCATCTTTATATTCATGACATTTTGGCCATTGTATTCTCTGGCCTTCTTCAGGTGATTGAAGTTTTGAACTGAACTCTTTATTTCGTTCACCATGGTAGATTGTTCTAGTTCCTTGTGCCATGCCTCATCCGGATATCTCAGTTATCTCCCTTTTAACTCAACTCTCCAAGTTTTTGTTCACCACTGCAGTAGCAAGGTTTATGAATTTTGGGGATTTATCAACCTCATATCTCAGTAACCATTTTTTTTACCGGAGCTCATATTGTAATTTTGTTATTCTTGCTTTTCTCTAGCACTCCATATTACTGGTTCCCATATTGTATTCATTTCTATGCTTAGCCAGCTTAGAAGATTTTTGTGGCCTAACATATGTGCTGATTCCTTAAGTTTTCATATTTTCCAGTGATATTCTCTGTCTATTATTTCAACTTAACCCCACTGGTGGCACTGATCTCTCTTTTTCCCTGCATATATGTTCAGCTATGCCTGATTTTTCTATTTCCCCTCATGTTATGGCTTTACAATGTTCTTTCAGCCTTACTCTAAGGGGGCGGCCTGTTTCTCCTTTGTATTTCTTAACATGGCTTCACAGAATGCTGTACACACAGCCTTTAGTCATGTTCTCCTCCGTCGGGGTGGGGGGCTTACTCAGAAGCATTGAACCACTTTTGAAGGCCGTCCTGATGTTATATGGACCACAGATCTGTTTTTTGAGTGTTATCTATTGTATCCTTTTATCCCAGTTTGTTGGAGTTGCTGCCATGTACCCAGGGTAGTTGTTACATTGTTCTAGTTCCACGTGCCTACAATCTACCCCAGTGGATGAAATAAAGGGTTCAGTTTGAAATTCCAATCAGCTGAAGAATGCTGGAATGTACAATGGAAATGTGAATATGACAATAAAGATGTGGACAACAGTCTGAACTATGTAAATAATATAAATAATTCCAGTACCCCATCTCAGAAATATAGACAGACTTTCTACGTTATAAAATATCTGATCAACTAGTTTTACTATAAGATGAGGCCTGATCTCTCTTTCTGTCTGCCTGTCTATCTCTCTTCGCTCTGTCTATCTGTCTGTCTGTGCCTCTGTCTGTCTGTCTGTCGCTCTCTGTCTGTCTGTCTGTCGCTCTGTCTGTCTGTCTGTCTGTCTGTCTGTCTGTCTGTCGCTGTCTCTGTCTGTCTGTCTGTCATCTGTCTGTCTGTCTGTCTGTCGCTCTGTGTCTGTCTGTCTGTCTCTCTGTCTGTCTGTCTGTCGCTCTGTCTGTCTGTCTGTCTGTCTGTCTGTCTGTCTCGCTCTCTGTCTGTCTGTCTGTCTGTCTGTCTGTCTGTCTGTCTGTCTGTGTCTGTCTGTCTGTCTCTCTGTCTGTCTCTGTCTCTGTCTGTCTCTGTCTGTCTGTCTGTCTGTCTGTCTGTCTGTCGCTCTCTGTCTGTCTGTCTGTCGCTCTCTGTCTGTCTGTCTGTCGCTCTCTGTCTGTCTGTCTGTCGCTCTCTGTCTGTCTGTCTGTCGCTCTCTGTCTGTCTGTCTGTCGCTCTCTGTCTGTCTGTCTGTCGCTCTCTGTCTGTCTGTCTGTCTGTCGTCTGTCTGTCTGTTCTCTCTCTCTGTCTGTCTGTCTGTCGCTCTCTGTCTGTCTGTCTGTCGCTCTCTGTAAGTTGCTAGAATTTCTTTTATATACAGGGTGTGATGGGTAAATTTTCACCATTTTATATTTTGAATTTCGCTCATGTGCGTTTTTGTTTTTGTCAACAGCACAGTATAGAAGGGTCAATTGGGCACCATCTGTGAGAAAAACTGCACAATGACACAATTCCTGCTGCCAGAAATTTTGAAACTGTATGCTGTACTGCATGGCATTCATGATGGAAGATTCATTATGAATATTTCAGAGTGTTTGAGTGTAATCTGAGGACAGTGCAGAGGATTTGGAAAGGGTTAGATGAGTCTAATAGTCATTACAAAGGTGTTTAGAGTGATCACTTGTGATAGCAACATTATGCCTCCATTTATCTTCCCACGGGCCCTCAGACTCAACACGGAGGTCTACATCAAGTGTCTTGAGGCATCAGTACTGCCCTGGATCAAGTGGGTGGCTGCTGGAAGACTCTATATCTGACAACATGCCACACAAGAAGAACCTAAGCATGGCTGTCAAATTTCTGCAACCACATCACTCCTTACATTTAGCCACCTAACTCCCCACACTGCAAGCCCTCTGACTATTATGTGTGGGGTGCAGTTGAGCGAGACCTATAAAACTCCTTGTCACACCAAAGATGAACTGAAGGCAAAGATTATGGTACCATTCACCAACTTAACCAAGGAGACTGTCTAGAAAAGTTGCAGGAGATTGTGAAGTCGTCTGGAAGCCATGTTTAAAACCAATGTCGATTTAATTTAATAAATTTACTGTTTAGTATTTCCTGATATTTTTTGTGTAATTTTGGTAAATATATATGTTAAAATAAGATGTCAGTGTTATTTTTCATTTTTATGTAATTTAGGCGACAATTTATCCATCGCATCACACACACACACACACACAAAATGAATGTTCATTTAACTTTAATTTTTGTAAGAAATATGGATGTAATTTTTATTACATTTCTTCTTAAATGTATATATATATATATATATATATATATATATATATATATATATACAAACTCTTTTATGCAAACTGTCTGGTAGTGATGTGAGCATTAACCCACCTAACTTTTATCAAGAGAAATGTCCTTATAGATTAAGTTCTCTCTGCAATTTATAAATTACTTATTAGAATAAATGTTTCATTTTCAAAATATATTCTACACTGTAAATTAAACTATCATCTAATCATTTGAAAGGTTTTAGTCTTTCACTAACAAAACTATATAAGCATAAATTTTCTGTACCTTATCATTGTACCGTTACTGAATATTTTCTCTCTTTAGGTGATGGAACGTATTGCAGCATTTGGGCCACTGGTGACTGCTGGTATTTTCTCAGCTACTTTGTCATCAGCACTTGCTAGTCTTGTATCTGCACCCAAAGTCTTTCAGGTGAATATTTAATCATTACTCCTTTATCCCTTTCTTTCTAGTGACTGGCTTTTGAAACACATTTGATTTCATGAGTCATTACAGTTTCATGACAAGCTGGTTTAATACCACTGCCACAATTTAGTATTTGGTTTTGTGGGCTGGTGATGGGATAGAAATAAATATTAACTCTTGGAAAAGTATATATGGTTTTGTTTTTGTTTTTTTTGTTTTTTAAGTTTCTTAAATGAATTTATGCAAGTGACTAAGTGTAGGACGAGAATTGATGGTTTATACTCTATCATTGACAATTTGACTTTTATTAACAAGTTCAAATTCTTGAGGTATTTGTATTCATTTAAAATGACTGAAAAATACTTGAATTGTTTCAAGCTGGTAATTTTTCATGTTTTATCAACAATGAAGATATAAAAATTTTGTTTTAATATATTAGATATGTATTGAAGGAAGAACTAAAAATAATGACAAACCTTTTAATGAAAAGCAATTTACAGTTCAGTCTCTAAATATTGCTCATAAATAGACAGATGAACTTTTAATGGAATTTATGATGTAGTTAGATTAAATTTATATTTTAAATCCTTTCAGGCCGTTTGTAAAGACAAGATTTTTCCTGGCATTCATGTACTCGCCAAAGGCCATGGGAAGGGAGATAACCCTCGTCGATTATACATTTTGGCTTATCTGATCGGAGTGGCCTTCATTTGTATTGGTAAATATTTAATCTATTTTAAATTCTTATATTTTTGCCTTTTCAGTTAGGCTTTGAGTTCAAAATAGGTTCCATTGATGTAATAATTTTTGATACTGTAAAACATTGAAAGTAAATCTTTGTTGTGACTTTCTCAAACTTCAAACTGAATATAAGAGAATGTTTTTTTTTTTTTTTTTTTTTTAATAAATGATTGCAAAGTCATCGAAATAGATTGTGATAATTCACCTATTTTAAATAATTTAAATATTTGAGATTTTTTAGACAAAAAAATGTCTGCTGTATATACATTTTTTTTTTTTTTTAGTGTACAGTGTACTCTTATTCTCCCCCCCCCCCTAATTCAGATTCTAGTTTTCTTTTTTCTTTCAGGTGAACTGAATGCTATTGCACCTATTATTTCCAATTTCTTTTTGATGTCTTATGCTCTTATTAATTATTCTTGCTTTGATGCATCATTGGCCAACTCACCTGGTAGGTTTCTTTTTACTCTCTTCAACTTTTTAAAAATTTCTTCACTTACGTTAAAAAAAATCCTCAATAGATGTTATTTTGTCCTTTTTGTGCTAAAAGCTTTCTTGTTTTCATTGAAAAACATTTTAGCATATGAATAGCTGCATTATAATTCTCTCTCAATGTAACTTTGTGTTTTGTCATGTTGTATCTGTCCATGAAGTATTAAACCATTCTCCCAATTTGGATGTGGGTGTAATTTAGGGTCTTTGCCAGAAACATTGAGACAAGTCATTTTGTATCCAGAATTGGATAAATTATCTCTAATTTTAATTTTGAATTCATTTACTATTCAAGTTATCTCCTGCAAATTTTATTTAAGCCCTTCAAAATATAATTGATTCAATTCTAATATTTCAATATTCATATAACTTGATAATCCTTATTAAAAGAAGGTATGTTCTTTTTATAGGATGGCGTCCAGCTTTCAGGTGGTATTCAATGTGGATAAGTCTTGTGGGTGCTATTTTGTGCATTGCTGTTATGTTCATCATCAAATGGTGGACTGCTTTACTGACATTTGCTGTCATAGCTGCACTCTATATCTATGTACATCATAGGAAGCCAGGTAAACAGTTTGGATTATTTTCTGTATTATTTATTTTCTCGTGTTTATTTTTTGACCGTCACTAACCAAGAATTGGTACAGCTTTTATTTCTAATATATTTGAATATAGCATCCTTATTTTTATTTTCTCATTTACATATATAATGTGGTTAGGATATATTTAATGGCATAGTTGACAAAAGTTTGTCATCTCCACTTATTCCTAGTCAAGTGTTAAGGAGTAAAAATTCCTGACATATGACAGCATTGTCCTGTGAGAGGAACAAATACCTAAATTCCTTTATGTAGTTGTAATATATGGATAATTATTTTATGACTGTAAAGATTGTACATCAGCAATAACATTCTCTCACTTTCTCCATGGACACACAACTTGTGGCTGTTTAAAATATTTGGTGTTCCTAAGAAATCATTCAGATAAGAACTGACCTGGACCATCTCCTTGAATTTTACATTGAATACTTTTTTCTTTCAAAATTTAAAAAGAAAAATAACTCCTTTCTATATTTCTCCTTAATTTTAGTCACTTGTTCATAATATTGGATGTTCCTTTTTATTACACACTGTTTTAATCTTTTCTCATTTTAAGATGTAAACTGGGGTTCCTCTACACAGGCACATGTCTATAAAAGTGCCCTCCAATCAACTCTTAAATTAATAGCAGTAGAAGACCATATTAAAAATTTCAGGTAAGTTTTTATTTTTTTCCTTGGTATATCTCTCTAAATAAATAGCAAATTAATTCTGTTTGTCCATGTGTCTGAAACCCTCTTACTTGGACCAAACTTGCTCTACATAGACATATTGAACTTTTTTGAATTAGGATGGAAATCTGCCCTTCATCTGGTGCTTGAACATCCAGTATTGGGATTTGTGTCTGGATGAGGAGGGAACAGTTCAAAATTGAAATTTTAAAATAGCTGAAAAAAATTATTGATTTTAAAAGCTTTTAATTTATATTGAATTTAAAGTAATGCAAAACCTTTGAAGTTAAAAGTTGTGGTTTTAAATTCAGTTTAAAATATCTCCATCTTTGTGAATTGAGGAAATAAATTTTATTTTTTTAAAATGCCAAGCATAGTTAAACTGAGAGGTTTCATGGTGTGAGATTTTGAAGTTCTGCAGTTTGTGATTTGAAGAACTCCATTTTCACCCTGAATTGGAATTTTGGTCTAAATCAATCTTTTGACCGGAATTGAACTTGTGGTCCAAATCAGAGTTAAAGTGAGGTTTTGAAGTTCCATGGAGTGAATTGAGGAATTCAGAGTTATTTCTTCAAAATTAACATTGTGGTTTTCTGAGCTGGACGAGAAGTCCCTTTGGTGTTGGCTCAATTATCCCTTTGCAGGAGCTAGCTTAAAAGTCCGTATAGAGTGAAGATTTTAAGGTAGTTTTTAATAATTGTGAAAATATGAAACAAAAGTGCTTAAATCTTCCTTTTAGATCACTATACTCACATTTAAGTAATTTTAAATTATTATTTAATGTGAACCTGTTATATATTAGTTTATAACTTTGTGATATTTCAGTAACATTTCTTTTTTTGAATTATGCATCTATAAAAAAAAAACAAATGTTGAATGGATGGGTCAAAACATTCTTGTAATACAATATATTGCCATCAGTTGTCTGAACAACGCTTAAAATGGGGCAGGGTATGTGCAAGACTAATTTTGACTTGGTTATTGAAGAAAGAAGTTTTAAAAAATTATGATTTCAATTTGGCGAAAATTATTACATTTTTTTTTCTTTCCTACGTAGACCGCAAGTGCTTCTTCTTAGTGGTTTACCAAGCAGTCGTCCTGCCCTTGTAGATTTCGTGTCCAGCTTCACCCGAAACTGCAGTTTAATGATCTGCTGCAATGTTATTGTGGTAAGACTTTTGTTCATTGATATTTTTAGTTTTGATACTTGCCTCTTCAATTGAAAAATGTGAAATCTTCTTTTCATATTCACATAATTTTTCAGTCACCATCTATGATTGCTAAGTAGCTCAAGAATAGATTGATGGTTGCTTCCCAGAAAGTAAATATTTCACTCAAATGTTTATAAGTGCTCTCAACCTTTGCTAGACTCTTCAAGAAATGTGACATTATATGTTTGAGATTATATTTGAAAATTGAGTATTTCTGACATTATTGAACTTTTTCAATAAAATGGATTTGTCTAATTTATATGATATCTAACTTTCATAAGTTCATTTGGTTATTTAAAAAATGCATATTACTCAGTTATTTTCTTTTTAAGTGTATAGCATATTGTAAAAACTTAAAATGCTATTTAAATTTAACATTTAAAATCAATGTTGCCCCTTATTCCTTTTTATAATATCATTCCATTTTAGTATAGTACTACATTACCCATGTAATTGTTGAAGATCATAAAATCTTCTCCTCTAAGCACTTATTGAATGTATGAGTTACTTCTTTTTTTCTTTTTTCTCAAGGATCCAAATGCAGACAGTTTGAAAGTTCTAAAAACTTCCGAAGAATATAATTGGCTCCATAGAAGGAAAGTAAAATGTTTTTATACTCCAATAATTTCTCCAGATTTCCGTGTGGGAGTTCAGTCTTTTATGCAGGTAAGTAATATTTTTATCTTCATGCTGTCATGTGCTTTTGTTTCAGATTCCCATTTGACATTGTCTTTGATTTAGTTTTACAAATTTATTAAACTTCTTTCATCTAGACTTGTGGTGTTGGAAAATTACGTCCCAATACATTAATCATAGGATTCAAAAACCGATGGAAGAATGGAGATCCCGAGGAAGTAGAAGATTACTTCAACGTAATTCAGTAAGTAGATGTTTAAAATGGCTTTGTGCTCAGTAAAATAGACAATCTGTTTTTGCTAACATACAGAGTGAAGAATCCCACAGCAAAAAGTATTGCATATATAACATTTTCAAACTTAAGCATTTATTATTTGAATAAATGTATTAAAGTCCATGGAAAAATAATTTAAAAGTGATAATTTTATTGAATTAAATAACTGATTTTCATGATCTCTAAATTCACTTGATATCCTATGATGATTCCTTTGATCCTGACATGATACTTGTTTGCTATTGGAAATTTTTTCATAAACTTAATTATGCAAATTTGGATCAAACAATATTTGCTTTCAGTTTTAATTAGGCATTTAGTGTTTCACTCTAACCAAGTGAGATGCATTATTAAATGCAAAGGCAAATACACTATTTTTTTTTTTTTTTTTGTTTGTCTGTGTAACATTTTTCTTCATATTGTTTCTTCAGTTGTGTTTTTAAGGGGGAGCCGGGTATGAAAATTAATATTTCCTTCAATCAATCTATAAATATTTCCTTAAATTTAATCTCTTGTCTGTTTCAATGAAATGTTTTATTTTCCAGTGATGCATTTGATATGCAGTTTGGTGTTGGCATTCTGCGTGTAAAAGAAGGCTTCCAGTGTGATCCTAATTTTGTAGATCCTCCACGTAAAGATAGTCATAAAGTAACTGTTGAGGAAGGTAAGTAAAACAAATTTTTGGGTTTTTTTTTTTTTTTTTCCTCCAGTTATGCTCTGTTCAAAGGAATATGCACACTCTCCTCTCTTGGTGGAATGAAAATGACATCTTTAAGCATAAGTTTCACTTTTTCTCTCTTTAAAAAAAAAAAAAAAAAAAAACTTTTCATTTTGATTGAAAAAAGAAAAGTAAAAAAAATTATCTTTTTTTTTTTTTTTTTTTCTTCTTTACTCAGAATTCTAAAGAAATTTAAACATTGGATTTTTTTGTCATGACTAAAGTTCAAAAGTAACTGATATTAAAACCAAACTGAGAAAATGATCCCTAAACACTTTCAATAGGTAATGATAAAATATAACTTGACAATTTTGAAAGTTGCTTTTATAAAAGGTTCAAGCGAAATTGCTTGATTTCTCTCTAAGGAAACATTGATTTTTTTTTTTTTTTTTAAACTTCAAAAAGTACATAATCATTTTCCAACAAAGAAAACATTTTTGTTGCTGGCTACCAAAGATCTTACTGGCAATTACACTGAACAATGTTAATGTATTGTTACTGAAAAGTTAACAAAGTATGTGAGTTGGGTGAATGAGGTAGAAAGGCAGTAGTAGTGTATTCATGACATGCTGCATCTAACATAAAAGAATTTGCAGTGCAATATCTAACTGTTGATTTGGCTGGAATATTTAAACTTATCAGAACAAGAAAAATTTAGTTGAAATTTGTTCTTTGTTCATACAAATTGTTCTGATAAATTTGAGATATTTTATCATTTTTCTTTATAGATTACAAGATATAATGCCAGTAAACATGTTTAAGTTATTACTTAACCAAAGAGAATTTTGCTATTATTTACTTAATTTGGTACAAAGCCTCAAGTATTGTAAAACTACCCAGTGAAGATTGAAATTGCTGCTCAGTAGTAATATGTTGTATCCTTTCATTCTTAAACAATCTATCACATTTGGCTTTTAAGATAAACATATTCATATTTTATAACAATTTGACAAAATAACAGTAATGATTAGTTATCAATAAAATTGATATTTAAAACCTTGTAGTATAAGTATCAAAATGATTAACGTAAGATCACCTGCTTATGAATGAAGGCTTCAATTTCTATAGAGCTGAATGTTAGTCCCTACTAACAACTAAATCTACCAATCTGCCAGTATCTACTTCTTAAAGTGGAATGCATTTCCATCATTATTTTTATTCAAATTCGTTTCTCTTCAGTTAAGTATGTTTGCTCTGAGAGCTTTGTTTTCTGTTACAATCATTTTGCTGCTTGTTTGAGGATTTTTCATTTTTTTGTCATATTTTAAGCCCCCAATCCACCTAAACACAAACATTTATTTGTTGTCGTTTTTTTTTTTTTTTTTTTTTTTTTTTTTTTTTTTTTTTGCTCTGCTTCCAATTTATTTAATTTTCTTTTTGTTCCCACATTTTCAACAGGAAGGAAAAAATCTGTGTACATGGAAAATGGTGTGTATTAAGTTAGGCGAAAAGCCACGCCATTAATTTCAATCACTCTTCACATTTTCATTATATTTTGGTATTTCTCAATATAATTTTTTCCCTTATTTAAAAACAAATTTCAATCTGGCCAAAGTAACAAGAAAGTTCGAGATTTTACATGAATGAAACAAAAAAAAAAAAAAATGAAATAATACTAAATTTGTTTCCTAAATTTTGTTTATTTTGCAATTAAGCCTTATCAAACCTGGTTTTAAAGGCAGGTAACTTTCACATCTTTTTTCAAAGTAATTCCTTTTCCTATTACTTTTTCTTTTTTTAAATGGCCCAAATTGTTCTGTGTCTACCTTCATATTTCTTCCATCCTAAATAAAAACTAGGAAATCCAACCAAGTTGTAGTTTTCTCCATATTGTTGTCAATGGAAGGCTTGCATGAATCAATTACACTTGCATTTATTTGCTGCTGCTGCTACTATCAACAAGAATAAACTTGACGCGAGATTTAGCATGCCTTCAACCTCCTAAGCATAATTAAGACCACTGATGCTTTCAGCTGATTATGCATTTACACTCTGTTGCTTTTCCAGTCATTCAGTTATTGTTATCAAAGTTGCAGGCTTGATGTAAAATTGTATCGACTTTTGTCTCTTCTGCTTTCACTCCAAATCTGAGAACAATTCTTAACTATTCTTGGATTCCACTCTTAAACGATTCAGCATGTTTTAACAAGATTTAAACTTATTTGAATTTTTTTCCTAGCATGTTGAGATTTATTTTCTACTTTATTTGTTAAATAACTTTTCCTCATTGTAATAAAAACAATTCAGTTTTTAATTTTTTTAAATTGACAAGAATATATAATAGGAAAATAAAATAACTTTTTTAGGTACTTTATTTAAGTCTAAGAATTGTCCTAAAATGTTCAGTTTTACTTCTTACTATATTGAGAATGGCAACTAATAATGTAGCAAATCTTTTTTACTGGTAGGCAGAAAAATGTGCTTAAAAAGTTGGATAAATGTTTGTATTATCAGTATTTACTAGGCCTAGTTTAGTCTGACACAAGGCTAGTGAGTACTTAAAGGATGATTTTTTTTTTTAATACATTCCCACTGTAATACATTTGTTTACTAGAAGCATTTTAAAATAATTGAGACACTACTGAAACAATAATAGGAGTCTTTTGTGCTTAAAGTTAACAAGATCTTTTCACAAGTTCTAAGGCAGAGGAATCACTTTTTAAAATTAATTTCTAATCTTATTGATCAATTAACCAACAATGTGATTAACTTGTTCAAAATGGTTCATTAACCACTTTTTGTTTACATTGTTTCTATAAAGGGTTTTTTTTTTTTTTTTGTGTTCTTGGTTTCACATTTTTACCTTACATTCTTGTGGGTGTCTGTCTCTAAAAGATATTCTTTGTATACATACATCCATAGAAAAGATTACTTAATGGGTTCCAACACTTTAATTTTGGAATTGAACTGTTATTTTTTTTTTTTTTTTTTTTTTTTCTAAATCTCAGTTCAATGGTTGCTTGCTTCTTTTCTTTTATTCACTTTGTTAAAATCTCTTAATAAAACTGAAATAAGTTGACAGATATGTTTCTATAAATCAACTGAATTTAAAATCAGATTTACATTTAACAGATGTTCATTTAAACTTTTCATATACATAATTCATTATAATAATAAAGAAAAAACTTTGACTAAAAGATAACATTGAAATAATCATTTCCTTAAATCTTTTTAAAAATCAATTAAATTTTCTTGTTTAAATATTTTGTTTTTGCATTAATTATTTAGATTTTAATAATTTATAATCTTAAATGCTGAAAGTTTTATATACAAAATTATTTTAATACATTTGACTACATTTTTTTGTCACGTTTTTTTAATATTTGTTTCTCATGTCACATTTTTAATTCTATTTTAAATTTCAAGTATTGATCCTATATTATATCAGTTGTACAAAAATATTTTTCCTCTAAAGTAGATAAATTGTGGAAGTTACATTTTTCAATGTTATTGCTTTCCTGGCACAAAAATGTGCTTAGTGTTATTTTTGATTACTGATACTAGTATCATGTATACAATTCTGTGGATTTTTCATTTACAACAACTTAAATATTTTTAGTTTAAATGAATTAATAATTGGCTTCTAATGTTTATTCTGATATGATTTTGCTTATATAAACTACTTTTTAATTTCAGCTTTTTGGTTTTTGGTTCTAAACAGAAAATTCTTTCTGTGACCAAAAACATTAAATAAAAAAAAATATGGGCTCTCATATAGAACAGGATTATTTTTAGGTTGCATTGTAGAAATTCAGACCATAGCCATTGTATGAGTGTTAGGCTTTTGTATTCTGCCCTTTCTGTGTTCACTCAAAAAGTGCACACAAAAATAAAGTTTTTAAACCAGTTCAGATTTTGTTAACATGAAATTGCCACTGGTTGGGGGGGGGGAGAAAGTAGGGAAATAATTTTGGTACGGTGAAATAAAAAAAAAAAATGCACTGTACCAGAATTTTTTTTCATTCTGACTAATGAGAGAGAAAGAGAGGGCCATTGCTCACTTTTTCTCTTTCACACCCTGCTGCTCTTGTGATTCATTGACCAATCATTTTGCAAACATTTTGATATGTTAAAATTTGTAGTCTTTAATAAAAATGCATTTTAATCTGTAAAATGACTGAAAAGCTTCCACAGTGTACAAAAAGTTTTAAAAATTTTCTAATTTCTCATTGATTTTATTTATTTGTGTGTGGGCACGCAAAACTGTTTTTGCCTTTGATTAAAAATAAGAATTTTTTCCTTTTACCTTTTGAAGTTAGATTTTGAGATTACAAAATTAATCAAATGCCTTTTTATCAATTTAACTCTTAAAATGCTTTTTTATAATGTCAGTAAGTATGCATGTAAGCTTCAGCTTAATTTTAATTGACACTTTTTAATTTAATTCTTGTATTTAGTTTTTGATGAGAGAATTTGAATGTTTTTTGTTTTTTGCTCTTTATATAATTTGCAATCAAGGCAACAAAAGATTTAAATTTATTAAGATGTCTTTATTTTATATATTTTTTTTATATTAAAGTATATGAATTTTTTATATATATGAAAAATATTTAAGAACCTTTTTGTTTTAATAGAATTGCTCTTGTTTTTCTTTTTTTCTTTTTTTAATTGCAAAATTTCAAGAGTTTTTATTTAAAAAAAAAAAATCAAAACTCATTCAATTTCTCTTGGATTTTAGAACAAAGCAAACAGCGCTATGATGATGATGATGATGATGAAGTTGGTGCCAACACCCCTGAACGCCGTCCAAGTATCTTTGACAGCAACCCGGTATTGAATACGGAGGAGGTTGCAACCCCTGATGTAATTCATGAAAGTATTGTGAAACCAGATAGTTTCTCAGAAGAATCTCTGAAAATGATGAATCGGTTTAATGAAAAGCAGAAGAAAGGAACCATTGATGTATGGTGGCTTTTTGATGATGGAGGTAATAATAATAATAATCAGTATGGAGCTATGATTTTGTAATAATCAAAATTTTATGGTTTTTATTTTATTTTTTGGAGTATAACCATGCAAATTACAATGTTTTCTAGTTTCTCTTTAAAATGGTATAATAGTGGGGCTTAGGGGTTAGAGGGATTAATGAAGGATGATATATAAAATAAGAATATTCTGGAAAATAGGCAGAAGTTATTGGTTTCTTTTTCTAAATAAATTTAATCCAAATACTTGATTAGATGTTAAATATATATATATAAAAAAAAATAACTAAAGAAAATTAATGTTAATAAAAATGAAAATCTTCAATTTCAAATAATCTGTAGAAAGAAAAATGTTTATACTTTGAACAATCCTGAAATTAAGCACCTTCTGTTTGAATATGAGATCTGTTTGTATTATTCTCAAGAGAATTTATGCAATATTGAGACCTTTGCCAAAAGTTTACAAAGAGAAAAAAATCTGTTTTAAAATGAATACAATATACATGATCATCTTTGTTGATCACATGTCCTGGTGTCATAGAGTTGCTGCACATCACAAGTTTCCTGTTCATATCTGAGTTTAAAGCTGAAAAGGTATTCATTCATGTGTAGTGTTTTGGGCAAGTAGATCTGGCAGAGCCAAATCTCTCTTCAGGTCAAACCACAGTTGATGGCCTCCAACTTGAAGTCTTATCTTGGTCATGGAAAACATAGCTGCTGTTTGTATTGGGTGAACCTTTTGCTCAGTCTATTGACTTCAGTCCAGGAAGTCTTCTACCTATTGATGTGTCAATCTACTCCATTGTGCCTACAAGAAAGTTCATCCACTCTTTAACAGGCCTTGTTTTTAATCCTGCTGAATGTCTAGCCAACTTTCTCACCAAAAAAGCTTGATGAGGGAAACTGTTTAGTCACCAGTGATCTGACCATGTGGCAGGTAGTACTGGGTTACATGGTACCAATGATACTTGTAGAGTTATCTGATACAAGGATATTTATAAGAAAATTGCGGCTTTAAGAAAATTCATTTTTTTAAACATAAGTGTACATGCAGGTATGGAGCACAACTGCTGGCCAGACAATGCACCTCTTTTTGAACCACTTCTTTTTTTGTAAAACATACATTTCTGTTTCTTTTACTTTTTATTACCTACTAGAATGTCTCTTCAAATTTCTCTTAATTTTAGACCATATTTGTTGCAATAATTCTTTTGTTTCTTTGTAGGTCTAACATTACTTATTCCCTATTTGATTTCATTGGAAAACAACTGGAGTAAAAATAAGTTAAGAGTATTTACTGCTGGGACCAAGAAAGGAGAATTGGATCGAGAACAACGACAGTAAGTTAATTTAAAAATGAATCAGTATTTTGGTAAAATAACAACCAAGAGGCTTGATTAATGGAACATTCAATTTAATAGTAGTTTTATTATTTATTTGTATTTTTCATTCTGTATTTTCAAAGAATTGTTATACTTTAATATTCTTTATGCCAGTGATGACATTGCTGCCTCTTTTGTATAATCTTCTTTTTTATAAAATCTCCACTTATCTTGCAACTTTAAAGAGCTTGGCAAGCACTATGCACTATTTTCACATATTTCTTTCCTGAATAGATGTTTCTTACTTGAGTTTCATTTGTTTTCTCCTTTTCACTTGTCAGTTTAGAGGATTTCCATTACTATTTTCTTGAAATATTTTCTAATTCCAGACTGGCCACATTATTGAGTAAATTCCGTATTGAGTGTAAAGATATGACTGTCATTCCAGATGTTGGCAAGCTTCCAAGACCAGGGAAGTGAGTTGAAGATTTTTTCTCAAATTCTTATAATACATGAAAAAAAAATGATCTGTTAAAGTTCAAAATGGTTTTTTGTTGTATGTAATTTATGAAAACAATTTATGAGCATCATTTGCTGAAAGAGCTGGACATGAAATTTGTACTTGGGAAGATTTCAGTATCTGTCTAATGTAAATAGTGTTGGGAGATTTGTACTGAACAAAAAACACCTTTTCAAACAAGTGGTATATATTGTACATGCAAGCAGACTAAATTCGGTTAATGCTATATACCACTCAGATTGCAGTTTACTTAAGAAAAGTGGTCAGGTGAGAAAAAAAAAATGTACTGATTATATTCCCAATAGATATTTGAGTGTCTATTAGGATTATATTGTCACCGCATTTTAATGTTTAAGCCATTATTGTTAACTTGCTGCCAGAATTTCTGGCATGAGGAGAGTTATGATTATTTACATGCAGACTATTGTCCCCATCTTTGTTATTACAATTGATTGTAGATTTGCGTAACTGTCAGGGAATTTCGAATTGAATCTTCTACTTGGTTTGTGAATTTAGTGACCTACTAATTGTGAGTTCAATCCCAAGCATTGTGTATTTGGATTCTGTGGAAATGGGGCGTGCAATAACTGACTAATACTAAAATAAGAACCAGATGAGTTATAAAGGGTTCAGTTCGAAATTCCTGAAGGTTAACCCTATTAACAATTGTCTGATTTAGTGAAACAATAGCAAATAGTGGGACAATAATGTAAATAATTTTCACTTTTGAATCTGATTTGTATCATTTGTATCTTAACTATTAATCACAATGTTATCATAAAGCTGAGTTATTGTTGCAATGCCTTTTGTTCACCTTTGCTTTGTTACCCAGGCCTGTTTTCTTTTGCTGATGCTACTTTCTAACCTTGTAGGATAAAGGAATTTGAACAGCTGCTTGAAGGATGGATTCTTGATGAAGAGAAAGGCGAAACAAAAGAGAAATATCCATGGAAGACAAGCCGTGATCAACTTAAACTTCTAAAAGACAAAGTGAGTAAAACTGATCTAATGGTTTTGTGCTTGTGGCATGTTGGGAAAATGCTCTGTGTGCATATATATATATATATATATATATATATATATATATATATATATATACACACACACACAGGGTAAGGCTGGTATTTGGGGACAGATTTTATGGATTAGTAAAAAAACCTTGCTGAACAAATGAATATAATTATATTTGATTACAAACAAGTAAACATGAAATTTAGCTAACTATTATTTAATTTTATTCAATAAAACCACCGCTAGCATCAATAACTGTCTCTACATGAAGTTGAAATTGGCTGAAAGTTCTAATTAATTGGTCTTTATTTATGTCTGACATTACTCGAACTATTGCAGCTTTAAGAGTTTTTGGTGTTATGAGGCTATTTATTAACCTCCTTCTCAACAATGCTCCACACATAATAGTCTAGTGGATTGAGATCTGGAGAGTTAGGAGGCCAAATGTTGGGTGTGATGTGGTTGTACAAATGGCCAGCCATCCATTTTTGTGTTCGTAGAGCTTTGTGGGATGGAGTTTTGCTGGAATATGTAAGGCCTGCCGTTACATGTTGTCAATCCAGGGCTTGACAACTGTTTCTAGAACCTCAATATAAGCAGCAGCATTTACTCTAAGACCTTGTGGAAAAAATGTGGTGGCATAACATGTCCTTCATTGCTAACAATACCCAATACCATAACACTTGTAAGAAATTTTTTGCACATCAATCTTGGCACCTCAAAAGGATCTGAACAAAGCCATCTGTCATTTCTTCTGTTAAGTTTTGATCTTGATCAAAATTTTTCTCATCTGAGAAAAACCAAATCACACCAGCTTCTAAAGGATTTTTAAATTTGTTTAAAAGCCTTTTGGATCTGTTTAAATGGTTTTTTGTTTTTTCGGACATAAATTGACTTCTCTTCATCATGTAGGACTTGTATCAAATGTCTTCATGAACACTCCTTCTGATTGTTTTTTTTGCTTGACTTCCTGAATAAATTTGGATGTTCTCACTTTATCAGAATGTGCAGAACGTCTTTTACGTTTTGATACAGACATTGGGGATCTGTCAGTGTCTTCTAACTCTTTGTATCTTGTGGACAAACGATCTTGCAACTCTGAGGAAATGTGCAATATCCAAATCTCTATGATCAGCCTTTAATGCTACAATCACAGCATGCCTTTTCATTTTATTTGTTATCATAGGGTTTGACATTCTTGATTTCTGAAAAATAAAAGCATTAGAAGTTAGTAGGAAGCAGTATTAATCTTAAATCTGTATGTCCTCAAATACCAGCCACATATATATACAGGGTGCGCCTGGTATTTGATAAATACTAACCGCATATATATATATATATATATATATATATATATATATATATATATATATATATATAGAGAGAGAGAAAGAAAAGGAAAACAGATAAACACTTGTTAAACATATTCAGTTGTGTGTATTGCATGTTCATTGTGTTTTCTCACTGAAAATAGCTGCACCTTTTCAAAGTTTATATACCAAAATTTGGATAAGACTAGCACACTTTTTGATAATTAAGTGAAATTTTTAGATATTTCTTTTGTGTAGATTTAAACATTTCTCGTAGCATTGGCGAAAAATAACTTTTTAAGCCTTTAAAAAAAAAAAATAATATATAATTTTTGTTTTTAGCAGAACTAAGATAAATCCTATTTTCTTTTTATACATTTATATAACAATAATTTTCAGTGGGATTTCAAGCTCTTTTAGCAAGAACCATCTATTAATATTTTGTTTTTACTTTTAAACAGAAATTAAGGAAATGCTTAATCATATTAAGCCATTTGACAGATTTCTATGTTCTCAGATTGTATGTTTTTTAAAAATCTTAGAATTGTAAATGTTTTATTTCTTTTTCACTAAAGTCCCTTCCAAGTTTCCCATTATGCTCTTGAATCCTCATCCAATTATAGACAGAAACCTCAGATGAAGTAAATTATATAATAAAAATACAAGTGATTCTCGAATTTGTTTTGGCTGAAATTAAATGTTTAAGTAACACTCGCTTGTATTTGTTTTCCTCTTTGGTTGACTGAGTTTGTTCAATTCCAAAACTCATTTGTCATTTACAATTTAAACTTTTGCTCCTCAAACAGAAAAATTTAAATCCTTTCAATACTTTAAAGACAAAATCTCAACATTTTTCAGGTTAAATTTTGGGTGCTTGATATTTTCATTTTGTTTTTCTATCTTTTTAGACAAACCGGCATATTCGCTTACGTGAGCTAATGTTTGAGCATTCATCAGATGCCAATTTGATTGTAATGTAAGTGCAGTTGTCATTTTCTGCTTGTTAGCTTTCCTTGCCTGCTTTTTTCTTTGCTTCTGTGACTTTTGTTTTTGTTTTCCTTTTCCTTTTCTTCAAGTGAAAATGGTTGTCAAATATTCTAATTGCATTACTGCACTTTTGTTATATTCCACCATTAACTGATGGGATTTTGTCAGTATGAATATTGATATTTTAACAGCAATGACAGGTTTAAATTCAGCTGAAGCTATTAATGATGTAAATATTACATATATCTCATCTAACAAGAGAAAAAAATAAACAACAAATTTTGCTTTTAATTAATGAGTGATGGGCTCTTAACCAGAAAACGTTTAGTTGCCTGCTTTTGTCAACTGGAGATACATAAAAGCAGTTACTTCCACAAAAAATAAATAAAAAAATCTAAGGTTTAAAATGAATTTTTGTAAATAAAAAATTTTCTTGAAGCTTTTTAGTTATTTCAAGCTAATATATTAAAATTTAATATTTTCAATAAGCAAAATATTTTGCTGTATTTGAAAAGCTAATTTAAATTGACTGGAAAAATTTTTTTTTCTAAAATAGCTGATTAGAGCCCTTGTTTTAGTCTTTCATTGCAAAATTTTATTAAAAATCTTCCAAAAATAGAATATACTTTTCTGAAACTTTATTTGAGGAATATAGATGATTCTAAAGTATAATTAATCTGATTTGAAACAAATATTATTTACTTTAAGTTTAAAATATAGCAGAGGTGCATTTTATAACTTGACAGTAGCTGGCCTGACATGTTGACAGACTGATGACTGATCTAATGTTATATGGAGACTTTATCTGTAAAACATAATTGAAGAAAATGATGTGAGCGCCTTTTTTATTTAATTTTTTTGTAAAAATTAATCAAAAATTATTTTTTTCAAGACAGTAGTGTCCTTATATATCTTATTTATAAAAGCAATTAAAAGCTTTTCTAATTAAACAGTCATAGTTTTCTTGCATTTTTTGTTATTTTACACTTCAGAGCAGATTTTCTGTAAATGGTGTTTCTGTCTGACAAAAAGAAATTCATGATTTAAATTCAAGTAGTCCTTCTTTTAATGATTAATTTGCAGTGTAACACCCGTGCTCAGTTTCCATTAAAAATTTCCAGAATACATAAATTATGTATAATTGTACATGCTCCATTTGAATCTGGCTTGATAAATTTGTTAAAATCTATCATTTTTGAGTTATCAACAGTGAAAGTTCGGATTCATTTGCTTCGCATGCAGCTATTACTGGCGTTGTTTGCATACATTTGCTGCAGAATAGCTATCAGTGTAGGTATCATTGCGCAAACTGAGTGTGTCTACATAAATAGTTCTTGTGCACAGTAATTGAGACAAATTTAGACAAGAAAGATCAGTTTTGTGTTTAGCTTTCTGTAGTCTTCCACGTTTAACTTTCCGCAGTGAATGTATGCAAACAATGTGAGTAATGGTTGTCACCAACGACACGAATGAATCTGAACTTTCACTGTTGATAAACAGTAGATTCTATCAAATTTATCAAGCCAGATTCAAATGGAGGATGTACAATTACACATAAATGTAAATATTCTGGAAATTTTTAATGTAAACTGAGCGTGGGTATTGCACTGCAAATTAACCCTTTTAACTAATGTAAATGTTTCTGAAATTTTAATTTTTCAAAGTAAGTGGGGTAACAGATGTTAAAAAAAAAAAATTAAAAAATAATTTCATGCATGAATAAGTCCTGAAAATTTCATTAAAATTTGACAACTATTTGATTTTTTTCAAAAATTTCCAAAACAATGTGTTTTTTACCACAACAAAAACTCCTATAGTAATTTTTGGCCTACAACTGGCACAAGGAAAAAAAAAAACAATTTTGAAGGTGCTAGAAAAGATTAAAAAATTTAATAAAATAATAAAAAAAATACTTTGGTCTTTCCTCTTAATAATAAGAAACATTTTGATAAAACTTTGTTTTCATTAAGCTTGGGGCCATTTTCATCATGCTACGCTCTTTTTTAATGAAAAAATGGAGGTACCTACATAAAAGAATCATTCATTTTTCTTGTGTTTTTAACTGGGTCTATAATCAAATGCTTTTCTGATTTATGATGGTAGTAAAAGCTGATACGCCTGCACAAATTTAATACCTTTTCAATTTTTTTCTGGCCATATTTAGCCTCTGATAAAAAAAAAAAAAAAATAATAATAAAAAACTGTTGAAGCTGAGATTTCTCTTGTGAAAAGACTGTAGAAAAAACCCTGAACAATTGCAAATCCAAACTCTCCTAACAATTGGCACCAGCAGAACTTCTCAACATTGAAGAAAAAAAAAAAAAAAAAAAAAGTCCCTGTAGCTGCAACCACCAATTGGCTATAATTTGTTGATGACCAAGTGTCACAATTCTCATGCAAATTAGCACAAAAACTGCCATGCAAATTTAGCAGTGATTCCATCTTGGGAGACTAACTTTTCCAAACAGCCAATTATTCAGGAGAATAAAACAAAACTCTTACAGACATTAGGTATGCTCGAGTTAAGGTCTTTTTCATGTTGGTATGGTTCTCTTCTACAAAACAGTGATTGACTTTTCATTTTCAGAAAACTGAACAAATTAAAAAAAATAAAAAAATACAGTTCATTTTCTTTTTCTAAAAAAAGCTTTTACTTTTTGTTCTTTTTCTTTGTCAAATTAAACTTTTTCTCATTTTTTTGTTTTAATGATAGTATATTATGCTAACCATTTAAAAGTCAGGTAAAGATAAGACTTCATTTTGGGGTGAAACTGAGATCTGTGCACTGTAACAATAATGGTATGAATTTTTTTCTGGAAATGTTGCCAGTTAATATTAGGACAAACATCAAAATGCATGAAGGTAAAGGTTATAAATTTGAAAGTGGAGAAATTTTGTTATTTCTAAGTGAGTTTACATTTTTGTTTTCTTGTGATTGTATTATTACTGATATTGATGAAATGGATGAAGATACCAAAAACAAATGGGACATTGAAAATGACACTATTCATGCTCAGAAGGAAAATAAACTCAAATATACAACTTGCGCATATTACTATGAGTTCATGGCTTTTACCAAAAAGTGGCAAAGTAAGTCACTTGCTTTTTGTGAAAGAAATTGACAGTAAGAGTACATGAAAGTAAAAATTGGCACTAAATTTCATGGATACTTAGTTATCTAAATGGAAGGACACTGTCAGCCATCTAAAGATCATTCCAGCTTCCTGTGGAATTATGCAGAAAATAGAAAAATGCAGAATTGAAACCAACTGTTTTTTTTTTTGTTTGTTTGTTTTTTTGCCTGGGTATATCCTTAGCTATGGCCAAGGAGATCCTTGGAGTTAGTTCTGGATCTTGTTGATTATGCTTCTACGTATAGTGTGGCTGTGAAACTAAGTAGTAAATACATTAGTGAAATTCTTCAGACATTGGCTGGTAACTTATCTTGAAGCATCTTTATTTATACTTACAAACATCTGTTGATGGAGACATGTTGATAATGAAGCTAAATGTTGTCATCAATCAGGGTGAGTCTTTTTGGCTAGATTTTGAATGTAGTCTTGGAATGGAAGGTAAATGACTCAGAACAGATATCTGAGTGAAGATGTGAAGTCAAGATTTGTGAATTTTTAGGAAGCAAAAAGAACAAGTTCTTTATAAAGGTCAGCCAAGAATATATAAAAAATGCATTTGTAAAAAAAAACGAAGAATATCAATGAAAATATATTATGGCAGAAGGTGATTTGTCAATGTTTATGATCATCTTAACATTACAGTAAATTGATTTTAATGTTAAAAGTAATTAAATAGGTTATTTTATAGAAAAAAACATTTTTTAAATACTCTGGTATTTATAGTATTAACAGATAAGTGAGTCGTTCTTAGCAGTTAAAATTTGTTTTAAATACTAAGTCTATAGAAAATGTTGAACTAATTTTTTTTAATAACTTCAGTTTTTGAAGTTATTAGGCATAAAACTAAAAAAAAAATTAGTGATCCTTTTGAAATGTAAAATCATTTGAACATATAACTAGCTTTGTGTTGTACATATATTTATTTTAGTCTAATTTGGAGGCTAAATTTTAATTTGGTAGAATTTTATTATTGCTAGTTGGTTTGCTTTTTAATCTCACCACTTTGAATCTTTTGCAGGACGCTGCCTATGCCACGTAAAGGAACTTGTTCATCAGGTCTCTATATGGCTTGGATTGATACACTCACAAGGGACTTGCCACCTATTTTATTGTTGAGAGGAAACCAGAGAAGTGTCTTAACATTTTATTCTTAGTTCTTTATCTCTCTCTTTCTAAAACTGTCCCCATTCACTGACAGTGATAAGACAGACACAGCTGCAAGGTACACACCGCCAAAATGGCCAGCTGGTGTGTAGTCTCTCTTGTACCATAGTACTTAGACTGCAGCTAACTTACATCCAAGCTAGCACCAATTTCATTATTACCACACCTCTGTTCAACTGAATTCAATTAGAAGAGTGTATGTATGTGTGTGTGTGTGTGTGTGTGTTTCCAAATTTTGGAAAGCAGATATTAACTTCATAGACTCTCTCACTGTGAAAGCTTCATATTCAGAGTAAGGATTATTCAGTTGATAAGAGATTTGTTTAAAACTGTTCTTGATGTATTACACAGTTTACCATTTCAAGAGAAAATCTCTTTAAGAAATGGAAAAATGAAAGAAAAAATCTTTCATTGCATAACTTGATTAGGTTTTATTCTGTGCATTTTAAATAATTGTTTTAAATGTTTAATGTAAAAGGAGCCATTCATTACTTGTTGAAAGAAAAGTGAAAATTCTGATGACCAGTTGTTAATTCCTCAAAATAAATTAAAAAAAAAAATGGTGTGAAGGAATCTAGCAATCATACATCTGTTGTTATAAAACTGCTTTCTTTCTTTCTTTGCTAAAATGGATGGCCATAACAACTGTGATAAAAAGAAAGAAATTGAAAATGCCTTAAAATGATTTTAAGTTTTTAATAACTTTTTTTTCTCCACTGTTGGCCATTTTTAGACTATTTTACACATGTTTATGAGAAACAAATCTTCTTTTCTTTAGACATTTCTCTCATGGAAAATACAAAGAAATGTTACATGTATTTTTCAGTACATAGATAAAGTCTTTTCAATCATATAAATTTGTATGCATTTTGATTTTTGATTGGCTATTAATTTTATTAAATATACAAAGATGAACAAATTGACTGATTGTTTTGTTATTGGGAACTGGGTTTTACATCAAAACTATTTTAATATCCTGAACTTTACAGGCATTTCACATAATAGTTGGCAATTTTTATAGGTATTGAACTTGCTTTCATGAACTAATGTTGGAATTGAAAATAAATTCACCAATTCCATTACAAATTGTTATGAAATATCTGAAATATAGTATTTTGCTTTAAAGAGTTTTTGTTGATTGAAGGAGAATGAATTTTAATGATTTAATTTTGGTGAATATATTTTTTAAAGTTTATCTCCTTGATAAAAACAAAATTTCATTTGAAAAGTTGTTATAAGTGAAAGTTTGTATTTTTTTTATACACTTTCTGCTCATATAAAGCAGATTCAATCTTACCAAAAAATACTGAGTACCAAGTGAAACATTTGTGAACCATTTGATCATTTTTTTTTTTTTTTTTAACTCTACACAGGCTTCAGTCTGTAAACATACAATGTTTTGTTTGGGAATTGAAAAATCCCCCATACCTCAACCATTTAATTCTTTTTTTCTTCTTTTTCTTACTACTTTTCTAGAAATGTATAACAGCAGTTGTTAGAAGTAAGTCTTCAAAATGTCAAATCATTTTGCTGAAACTTAGGTATTTTTAGATCTTAGATATTTTGATAGTCTCTCTTAGTTTTTCTTTGTAGAAAATTAGCATTTAGATCCCATATTTTATCAAAGACATGCTGATATTGTTGGACTATTACCTCTTTGTGGAGCGTTTCAATGAATAGTTCTAGTAACAAAAATAGAATTCAATTTGTTTGAATGACTGAACAGTAAAGTCATACTTAAGCTGATAGCCAATAATGCATCTTTTTTATAAGGCTTACATGGCTTGATTTATAAAGTTTGACATTGTTGGTCTATGGTAGTTTTGAAGTGTGGTCCAATTAATTTACTTTAGCTTTATTAGACTTTGTCAAGTTACAAGTGCAGTAAGTTTGTTTTTCTTTCTTTTTTTAATCAGTTAATTTTGTTTGCATTCTTTCTGTAATGTTAATTTCAATCCTACCTTGTTTAGTGTATTACATTTGAAATTTTATTAGCTTAGGGTCCCCAAAGAGTCATAATCCGGCCATGAATGTCCCTATTAATTACTGCATTCCAACAACTGAATTTTCTAATAAATGATAAGGCCCAAACTATCTTCAATAAATTTTGCACCTTGTGTTGTCATTTTCTCTTGAATCTCTCACTTTTTATTTCTTTATTGAATTTTCATCCTGAGTCATTTATATTTACAAAAGTAAAACTAGAAGGATTTGAATTTTCATGATTTTAATATATTTTCATTCTTTTGCTTGGGATACACTTCACACATGCACAGCTGATCATCATAAAATTTTTTATCTTTACATTGCTCATTCACTTCCAGCTTGCTAAGAATTTCAAATATTTAGAATGGTAATCAAACATCTTAAAACTTTTGTTGGTTTGTGAGTTTAAATCCTGCTATTAGCCCATTTATTTGGCATCTGTTGACATAATGTATGTACATTTTATATTTTTCTTTTGTGCAAAAAAACTAAAATCCCATTACAGAATTTAATTGGTGTAATTTGAAGAATTTGGCATGAGCGACTTTTACAATGAAAACCAATCCCAAGTCTGGCATTTTAAAATGATAGTCAACATTCCGCACTTGTAGTTTTTATTAAAGCAACTTATTAAAGTTAAAATCATTTCTCTTTCTCTTGTATAACAAATTAGTTTTATAACTTTCACCAATTATTTAACATTAAAATATATCGTTACATTTTGATGATACCTGATGCTTAGTGTTTTTGTGAATTTGGATCCATCAACTTTGTTTTTTTTTTTTTTTTTAAATGAACAAATATTGATTTGTATCTCAGTTGGTCTAATTGTGGGTTCAGATCCTATCATTGATTTCTCTTCAGGTTATTTCTGCAAATTTCTCTTTTGGGGTGTCTTATATATTCTCTGAATGAATTAATTCAGATGATATTGTTATATAATAAACTTGAAGCTTTCGGATTTCAACTTTACATTTAGTGTTTGAAGAATTCATTGTCATAAGTTTTTTTTTAATTTCTTCATATTTCTACATAGGAATACAACATTCTAAATTCATACTATAACCACTTCACCACCTTTCATTAACTAATTCATCTTGAGAGGTCTTACCTAACCTCATACAGTTACAAAAAAAAAAAAAAAAAGAGAAAAATGTCAGTCTGCGGTAATAGGGGAACTATTTAAAAAAGTAGGTTTTTTTATGAGTAACTGAGAATTGGCTTCTCACTGAAATGATTTCAGTTATATCTATTATACTAACCACCTGCTGATGCTTGCAGTTAGATTAAAAATTTTATGTAATTATTTAGCAATTAAGGTTATGTGTTTAAAACAACAAAAAAATGCCCTTCATCTTCTCTTAGTCATAGACACAGAATTTTTCAATATACACACATGAATTTTAGCATGAAAAGATCATTTGTTTTTAAACATTTTTTTTTTAATAAGTATAGTTTCGTTTTGGCACAAGGCCACTAGTATGGGGCACCTAATAAGGATTGAACACTGTGTTAATGTTCTGCAACACAGCTTGTTAACCATTACATTATAATGAGGTATCCAACCTTTAAAGTTGGTAACATTCAGCTTGAAATGGAGAGCATTTGTGACTATCTTCAGGTGAGAGAAAATAAATTCCAAAAAGTTACATTTTTCAATCAACAACTTATTCATTTTCATGAATAAACTATCTAAAATAATTTTATTATTTGATTTCTATATCAATGATAGCACTAAGATTTTTGAACCAGTTGAAGTTTTCCTATTTAATTTTTGCGAGGTTTTATCTTGACTTGTCTATTTGTGCGTCTGATACAGAAGATGAGACCCCCCGCTCCACTCATTGCTTTTAATTAGTCTTGTATAACTGAATTTATAGAAGTATCAACAGCTGCCATTCAGTATCTTCTGATAATTCTGCCATTAAACTTGTTTCTCTTCTACAAAATAGTTTGTCTGTCTCGTCATTAGTATTACTACACTACCACATTTTTAGATACTAAACTATTACTATATTTAAGAATTCAGCTAAAATGTTTGGTCCAAACTGACTTGTTAGACTTATGGATCATTTTATGTCTAGAAAATAATTAACAGAACAATATGTGATTGAAATGTTACCAATATTTGTTCTTTGCTCTGTAACATCAGTTAAAAAAATTGATGTTGGTATTAAATGACTAATTTAGACTTGCTGAAATGTTTCTATTAAAAAATAGTTTAGCATCAAAGTACAAAAGAGATTAATTTCTAACTTTCTATTAGTCAGGCATATCTATTCATACAAGTCACTTCATTTCTTGGCATTTTTTCTTTTTTATCGACTTGATAGTTTATTTTCACTAATGCTTAGCATGTTGTTCTTTGAAGCCAATTGACCAAAGTTTATTCCTCAGTGGATGTTTCTAAAATTCAGTGGCTTTCTTCCAGACATGTGAAAAACTTGGTTTATTCAGTGTTCCAAGCTAACAAATTGAGAGTTGATGCCAAATTAATAAGACTTTTTTTACCACAATCTCTTTTAAAAGAAAATTTGACTCCAAAGTAGCTCATATACTTGTTTTGTATTCCTGTTTTTGTAAAATCTGTGATATTCTTGTAGTATAGATAATTTAATGACTATACTGTCTTCTACAATATTATGTCACTAAGTATATCAAAGTAAAAAATAAATCTAACAGCTTTAATAGGTGATCTTTTAATATATTTCTTCAGTTTATGAATTGACACTTTTTTTTGTCACTCAACTTTATGAACATAAAAATACCAAGTTTACAAAAGACAGCAAAATTGGTGAGCAGAGCTAAATGCTGTTTAATAGCCATTTAAAATATTTAATTTATACAAGTTAGATTTTCAATAAAAGTTTGCATTATTCATAAAATAACCTTTTGAATAACATTTTTATTTTTTTTAAATTTGTTAATCACAAAAAAATTGCAATCTGCCTTTACTGACAAATGGCCATTGTACTGGGATGGAAGAATCCCTTATTTATCCTGT